TAAGTCCCGCCGCATGCATTTGGAGATCTGTCTGTTCAGTTGCCTGTATGCTGTCAAATCTGTTGAAGAATGTAGCTTCATCTCCCATCTAACAGCCATGAGATTAAGAGTGTGATCGGAGTTTTTGTGTTCTTCTGCGGCGGGTCTTGCAGAACTTAGCTCGACTGCATGGACAGTTTCCACGAGCTTGTCATTCATATCGTCCACTTCATTGCAGTTTTCTAGGCACTGAAAACGGTTTTGTAACTCGAGCTGATAGGTTTCAGGACTTTGGAACAGAGCACGATGGGGACAGAGCGTTGACTTCATTAGACGGGACCTCTCCAACTTAACGTTAAGGTTCAGTGTGCCTCTAACCATTCGGTGATCGCTACCAGTTTTCAACCTCGCGATCACGAACACATCACTGAACAATTGTCGTCTGGTCGTCATAATGAAGTCAATCTCATTTTTTGTCGAACCGTCGGGGCTCGACCAGGTCCACTTCCTGTGGAGCCGCTACTGGAAGAAAGAGTTCATCATAAAGAGTCCCTCTTTCTCCATGAAGTCGGCCAGCTGCTGGCCCCTTGGGTTCCGTTGCACTATTCCAAATTTCCCTACTGTTAGCTCACTGTTCTCTCTTGTGCCTAGTTTTGCATTGAAGTCTCCCATTAACACCGTATATTGGGTTTTGGAGGAATGCATGGCTCTAGAGATATCCTCATACATTTCCTCCACCTCCTCATCGGGGTGTGCTGAGGTTGGTGCGTAAACCTGTATGACCTTCAGCGAATACCGTTTGGTGATTCAGAGTATAAGGTACGCAACCCTCGTCGACACACTCGATCTTTACAACGTTGTTAACGAGAGACTTGTGGACGATAAATCCGACACCTCCTTGAGACAGATGGTCACCCTCCCGGTGATAGAGCAAGTTGCCGGATTCGAGAATTACCGTTTTCTCCCCCTCTCTTCGGACTTCGGGTAATCCTATAATATGCCAGCGTAACTTGTCTATCTCTTCTTCCAGCTCCACAATCTTCTCGTCAGTCCTCAGGGTGCGTGCGTTGTACGTTGCCAGGTCGAGTCGTATAAGGTGGCAACCGAACCTCCACCGGAGATTCCACCCCCTGCCCCGCCGTTACGATGGTCGCCACCGTAGCCAGGAATAGCGGGGCCGCCGGGGACTTGGGGCCTTCTCTTTGTTACTCTCTTCATAGGGGGGTATTTGCCATAGTTGCCACGCTTGGCGGGCGGGTTGGCAACCGCAGTTTTTTTTATTGTAATTTCGGCTACTATCAGGAAGATGCTGCTGCCCATCTCCTGCCTGTTTCCCTTTGTCGCCTTTTACGACACCCACGGGAAGATATGGGGTAGTGGATATTCTTGACCGCCACTACACGGCGAACCATAGACGCTTTGTAGACGGCTTAATCTTAAAAGCCGATTGTGTGACAATCGGATCGCGAATCTCGAAAACTCTTCAGCTGTATGCCGTTAAGGTTGTAAGAAATTAAAGTCGCCGCCTATATACGTCACACTGCTGGGCTCAGGCCTCTCATTTCTGAGAGTTTTTGGCGGACATTTCCTTGCCCTAAATGAAAGGAAATGTCCGCCGCGCTGCTCCAATGCGTGTTGGCGAACTTCACATGTCTTCGAAATATTTTTTTTTTATTTCTCAGACATGCAGGTTTCCTCACGATGTTTTCCTTCACCGCCGAGCACGTGGTAAATTAGTTTATAATATTATATATTATATAATTCATATATTTATATAAATCGTGTTTAATTATAAGTTTTTGTCCTCAGTTTCATTTTACATTGCACGTTGCACCTATCCGTCAAAATATATTACATTGTTCCCTATTACGTTCGGTTTGTCAGGTAGAAATCGCTTAAAGCGATATGACCACCGTTTGTAGTTCTTAAGTTATTCCGTAATTGTAACACTTTGTATAAATGCAATAAAGAGTTATCTATCTATCTATCTAAATCAGCACTTAAAATTGCAATTAACAATTTCATTGGTGCCGGCGGAATCGAACTCGGGTTGCTCGCGTACTGTGAAATTTACAGCGAGCGCTAACCATATGAGCTACCACGGCTGTAAGAAGTGTGTAGAAACACTTGAGGACTTTAAGACACATTCCATTCGATGTACAGCAATTGCAAATTCTGTTTAAATCTTTTTTAATTAGTATTAAATCTTGAAGTGTTTTAATGGCTTTACACTTTTTTAAATCACCTGCAAACAATGAAAATTTACTATGCAGGCTACCAATATCATAAATAAATAAGTAGGGAGAAAAAACCGGACCAAGGTGAGGACACCTGAATAAGCAATACAGATGTTCGATTCATAGCCATCGACTACAACCATCTGTGGCCGCTCCATTAGGTAAAACTGAAATCATTTCAAAGAAAATGAATAGATGTATATTTCGCGTACATAGGCTGCACTAAAAGTATCGGGAATGGAATATTTCCACTCCCGATACTTTTAGTGCATCCTGTCATGCTCCTGTCATATTAAAATCTTTTTAATTGAAAGTTCCTTGGTTTTTTTTAAATTGAATACCATTTATTTATTTAAAAAAAGATTCTCGGTCTTGTCACAAGGTTTTGTCAAACTTGTTTAGTCGTTGAGAAAATGGAACTGACTCGAGAAAATTCAAGAGCGATGATTTATTATGACTTTCGAAGTGGTTTAACACAAAAACAGTGTGGTGACCGGATGATTTCTGCATTTGGTGATGAAGCCCCATCCAAAACCACAATTTATCGCTGGTTTGCTGAATTTCAACGTGGACGTGTCAAGCTCAGTGATTATCCCCGTCAAGGTCGTCCAAAAACTGCAGTCACACAAGAAAACGTTGATGCTGTGCGTAAGCTGATTGAGGAAGATCGACATGTGACATACCGCGAAATTCAGGCAACTTTAGACATTGGCATGAGTCAAATACAAATAATCTTGCATGAACAATTAGGCGTAAAAAAGTTGTTTTCCCGATGGATACCGCATTCGCTCTGTGAAGAGCAAAAAGCGGCTCGCGTTACTTGGTGCGTTAGAACTCTCGAAAGATTCCACGCAGGATCCTCAAATGCTGTATACAACATCGTATCAGGTGACGAATCCTGGATATACGCGTACGAACCCGAAACAAAAAACCAGTCACGAGTTTGGGTGTTCGAAAATGAGTTAAATCCAACAAAAATTGTTCGTTCACGGAGTGTTGCAAAAAAAATGATGGCCACGTTTGTCTCCAAAACCGGCCATGTTACGACTATTCCTCTTGAGGGACAAAGAACGGTTAATGCAGAATGGTATGCTAGCATTTGTTTGCCACAGGTCGTTTCTGAACTCCGTAAAGAGAACTGCAACCGCGACAATGCGAGTTCTCACACCGCACACAGAACAAAAGAGTTTTTAGAGCAAGAAAACATAGAATTATTAGACCATCCGCCGTACAACCCCGACCTAAGCCCTAATGATTTCTATACTTTCCCTAAAATAAAGAATAAATTGCGTGGACAGAGATTTTCATGACCTGAAGAAGCTGTGGACGCCTACAAAACGGCCATTTTGGAGACCCCAACTTCCGAATGGAATGGTTGCTTCAATGATTGGTTCCATCGTATGGAAAAATGTGTCAAATTGCGCGGAGAATACTTCGAAAAGCAATAAATACATTTTTAAATAGTAATGTTGTGTCACTTCCTTCATTCCCGAAATTTTCAGTGCCGCCCTTGTACCATACAATTTTTTGTACATCAGAACTAGAAGACGCTAAAATGTATTACTACAGTTAAAGAAGGTCATGTTACAGTTCTCGACAATAAGCCTAGCAAAATTACGCATACGCACCTTTTGGAAGCGTTATCTTATAAGAAATAAACAATACGTCATGACGTAGAAAACAGGGACGTGAAGTTGTCCGTGACAGATGGCATGCCTTTCTGATTAAACTAATAATAATTCAACAATGAGTTATTAAAATTGAGGTTACAATAAAAGGTATCTAGAGTAAGTATTGAGAATTTAACTAAGTGAACGATAACAATTTAAGTGACTTGGGATAAAAAAATTCGCTTTAAAGGCACCTATTATGATATGATGTTGATATTTCAAGCGAATTGCAAAAAGAGTGTCTTCAAGATCATAAAAATAAGTGGACCTAGGTGAATTTTTAAAAATATTATCGGAGTCGGCGAGGATCGAACACAGTTTTCTCGCATACAATGACATTTTTAGGTGAGCGCTTATCCATTGAACTAGTATAGCTTATCAAAGTTGAATTATTTTAAATAGATTCAAATTTTCACGATATTACTTATCATAAAATTGAGGCTAATTGAACATAGTTCAGTTCTTTGCGGATCTCATGTAAAAATATTTTTTTATATGAGAGGGGGCAAACGAGCATGCGGATGACCTGGTGGTAAGTGACTAACGCCGCCCATGAACAACTGCAACACCAGGGGAATTGCAGGTGCGTTGCCGTATTGGAAGTCATATCGGTCCGAAAAAAAAATCATTACAAAATTATGAAATGGTGTAAAAATAATAGAAAATTGTTAAATACACACTAATTAGACAGTAGTTATTTTCAAAAACAAAAAACAAATAATAATCGTCATATACATATCTTATATTTTTTATAACCGAGTAGCGGTGGTGTAAGAATACCTACAACCCTATTTATCCCGTACGTGTCGTAAGAGGAGACAAAGGGAATCTTAAATAGGAGATGGGCAGCAGCATCTTCCCGATAACAAAGTGCCAAGCCAAGCATGTGTGGCAACCAAGCGTGCGCATACAACCTACCCTACGAGGCAAACTCCCCATTGCCTAAATTTAATAATATTAAATACTTAGTTTATATGTAAATTTGCTTTTCTAATGTTGTAATGAAGTGACATTTATTATTTTTTGAGAATGAAACAAATCAGAATATATATAACATAATATAATTTAGAAATACTTTTTACACGGATTACATTAGAAATCAGTTTAACGTGGTTTACTTATTCTGCGCGTCAAGTTCTCTCTCGACGATCTTTCGGTACTCGTCAAAGCCGCCCTCTATACTCGCCACTGAGCCGTTACCACACACCCACAGTTCTTTGCACACCATTCGTATTAACCTTTCGTCGTGGGAAACTAAGATTACACCGCCCTGTAAAAAATTATATTATATACTAACTGTGCCCGCAATTCCATAAGCGCAAACATGTAACAAACACCTATAATCAAATGACATTCTGTTGTGCATTAGGTATAAACACTTACTAATCTTAAATAACACATACATACACATTGAAGCATTGCAGCGGACTAATTGCTCCTTAAGAAGTGAGACATATGCGGAGCAATGGACGTATACAGGCTGGTTTTTTTTTCTTCATTTTTTCACAAACATAATAAAATCGTCTTAAATAATTAAATAATAAAAGGTTTTTAAATCATGGAACTAATATACTTAGATTTTTTTTACAAAGATCAGATAAAAAGATGTTTATGATTTGATTAAAATGTATAGATTTTACAGAGCATTAATGTTTTTTCTTAAGACTGCACAATCCCATCGCGTATATTAAGTAATATAACAATGACATCCAGTTGTAGACAATAATTTACCCTAAATGCAGGATGGGATCCCCATACCGAAGAGGATATTTACCAATAAAAAAAGCATCACAGCTCATACAGATCCGAGAGACCTAGGAGAAGACTTACCTTTAGAATGGGATCAAATCTGGTAGAATTTTTGGTATATAAAAATCGCCTAATTGTTTTAACTAATTTCGGAGACATTGTTTAAAAAATTCATACTAGTAAATTTGTTTACTTGTCCTTTTTTGAAATTGTTTATTAACAAAATGTAGGTAGAATGCAGCGAACAAATTGTTGGAGTCTAAAACTAATTAATAATGAACAATGGTAGCTTTCCTTAATAATACGAGTGAAGAGTACAGAACGAAACTTTTTAGTGAAACGCGCTAAAGGCAGTTTATTATGCGTTTCTCAATTAAATATTGTTAATATTTGAAAAAATATATTAATTTATCTATTAAATCACTTAATACTAATCATTCGAGATTCATTCATTCATTCTTTACTTCCTACCAAACGTCCATGATCCTGATCATAGGCCTCTCCCACAGATTTCCTCAGGAGTGATAAATGAAAAAAACCAGTTTAGGTTCGTAAACACTTGACATTAGAAAATTAACATATTAGAACATACCGTATATTTATTTATCGCCTTGCCCAAAGCCTCAATTGTCTCTATGTCCAAGTGGTTAGTAGGCTCGTCGAGCACTAGGAAGTTGGGGTTGCCCATGCACATCCTTGCAAAGGCGACGCGTGACTTTTGTCCTCCGGATAAACTCGCTATCGTCTGTAATGCAAGGTCACCACTCACACCGAAACTACCCAGTTGCCTCCTGTATTCCTCGATTGATTTACCTGAGAAATAAGTTTAAATGTCTGAAGTTTTCTGTAACAGTTCAAAGCCCTACCAGATAAACTTAAAGAAGTTACTATACAACAGGTAGGGATAATGAAAAATAACGTTAGGAAAGTTCCTCCCAATATTACAGAGACATTTATGAGGTGGTTCGCGGCAATAGGACTCTATTTCTGCCAAGGAGTCGGTCTAGGTTGGCACCGACAACCTATTTCTTCAGCCAACTACTGTTGCGTTCCATATTGGAAGGTAAGAGGGACAGTATTATAACATGCTGTGAGGCTTTGCATCTTAGTCCTAAGGAGTGACATCCATGGACTGCAGTAACCAGTTACCAATAGGTGGACTTTTAACTCGTTTGTTACTCTATTATAAAGAAGATGAGATATAGATTATCTCATCTTCTTTATAATAGAAGTTTGAAGAGACTCTATTGAGGCAAGCAAGTTCCTTTATTGTAGTTATTGTGCGCTGAGCATGTTATATATCAGCCTTTAGAATTCAATTTATAAATTCAGCAAAGCACAGGATAGCATAAAGGGATCAATATACTTTTACGGTGCGTTATAAATTAAACGAAATAAAATTCCAAGATCTTCTAGCCTCCAACAGATAGTAGAATTACCGTATGCTAGTTCTAAAATAGTACCTTGACCGATTGAGACAAGAGTCAAATATGCAAAAGATCTGACTTCACAATTGCTAACCCAACTGTTAAACGTGGCATTAAAGGCAAATTTTGCCAATACCGGTAGAAATAAAGTGAGGGTTGCCTCGATACGATACCTAAGCGTTTGATGTAAATTTTGCTGGCACCAGTGAAATTGCCATGTCGAGAGAATGAATGAAGAACGATTGACGAAAAAAGTGTATAAGGCGAGTGTGAATGAAAGTGTTGGAAGGGGTAGACCTAGGCGGACTTTTCAAGACCAAATCAGGGACGTCTTGAAAAAAGGCCAGGTCAAGAGTACCCTAAACCGTAGAGCATATATGAAGAGAATAATGAAAGTGGAAGAAGCGAAACAAGTATGTAAGGATCGTAGCAAGTGGAAAGAAGTGGTCTCTGCCTACTCCTACGGGAAAGAGGCGTGATTATATGTATGTATGTACGAATGAAATTGTTAATTGAAGTTTTGAGTGTTGATTTACAAAGTTTTCGGCAGTGAAGGAAACCAACACGTATCGTAGTAGAGCGCTAGCATACAAATTGCTCCATTATCCTCTTAGAAATGAGAGCAGGCCAGTGTCAAGATGTGGGTCGTATAAAGGCTGTAACTTTTACTTTACTTTTTTTACTTATGGAAAAAGTAAATACAACATCAAAAAACCTAACATACAAAGATAAGCTGATATAAATAAAATATTACTTGAGTTACTTACCAGGATAGCTTCTCTGTAGTAACTCAACTGAGTTGACGTTCATTTCAAGCTGATCAACGTGATGCTGGGAGAAGTATCCGAATTTAAGGCCCCGGTGCACATTGCGAACGCCACTAGTAGGCGACAATATTCCCATTATTATTTTTAATAAAGTTGTTTTTCCTGCGCCATTGTCACCAACCTGGCGATTAAAAATATCCTTATCTTCTACTGGCCGGATACAGAATACTGGAGGATATGGGTCTCTCCAGAAAATTTACGATCTAGTACCAGAAAAATTGCGAACGCAGTACCAGAAGTCTCGCATCTTTGACGCAGCTTTCCGTTGCCGAGCCGGGTTATCACATTTTATACATTCATCCATTCATTGCGGCCTATCAAAATCCACTGCAGAACAAAGGCCTTCAATATAATGCTCCATAAACAGGTTTGCCATAGTTACCACGATTGGCAGGCGGGTTGGCCACCGCATTTTTTTCTCTAGTTGTTATTTGGAAGACGCTCTGCCCTTCTGCCGGTTTGCTTCCCTTTGTCACCTCTTACGACATCCACGTAGCGAAATTGGGTAGTGGATATTCTTATATCACGACTACACTGTACTTCTTGTACATATAAAGCTGTAATAATATTCCTCTTGGCATTTCCCACAGTCGCCTGTCGCGATATCTGCACGGGACAATACACATACAGTGTAAAACAAAAAAAAATGTCGTTACAAATTTTATCGTTACCCCTTTAGCTAATGTAAAATACAGATTTTTTTTAAAATAAGGGTGACGAAAAACGTGCACACAATCCACCTGATGTTAAGCGGTTGCTGTGGCCCATTGACATCTACATCTATCTTCGTTTGCGAATTAAAATGCAGATGCGCTGTCAGCCGTAAGGACTAAGATAGAATACCTCTTTTCCAGTAAAAAGGGTCTTCGGTTCTCTACATTCACCATACGAAACACGTACACGCATTAAGCTGCTATTTTACGCTGGTATTCTGTGAGAGCGTGATCCTTCCCCGGTCGAGCCGACCCATTCGTGCTACAACTATACTATTAATTTAGCTGCAGCAAGGCTCTACACGTGATACACAGAGAATCCAGTAAGTGATGGTAATCTACTATATTCTTAAAAATTTTCTAATTATCATAGAACGCGAAATATTAATAATAAACCTTATCAATATCTAAAGACACCTGTTAGGTTGCGTTTTCTCGGTGAGCGTGACATTAAGGCCACGTCTAACGCATGCATAAATTCATTGCAAACGATAGCAGCGTCATTAGAATTGCTAACAGATAAAACCTGCAATATGGCCTTGACTACATAACACGTTCTAATCTTTAAAGATATTTACAATACAAATATATATTGTAAATATCTTTAAATTAAATAAACAGCCTTTTGATCTTAATATTGACTTTATGCTTGCTGGCAGAGCTTACTAAACAATTAGATTATTTTATTATATAGGCTGCACTAAAAGTATCGGGAATGGAATATTTCCACTGTTCCTGTCATATTAAAATCTTTTTAATTGAAAACTCCTTGGTTTTGAAAATCGAATACCATTTATTTATTTAAAAAAAGATTCTCGGTCTTGTCACAAGGTTTTGTCAAACTTGTTTAGTCGTTGAGAAAATGGAATTGACTCGAGAAAATTCAAGAGCGATGATTTATTATGACTTTCGAAGTGGTTTAACACAAAAACAGTGTGTTGACCGGATGATTTCTGCATTTGGTGATGAAGCCCCATCCAAAACCACAATTTATGCTGGTTTGCTGAATTTCAACGTGGACGTGTCAAGGTCAGTGATGATCCCCGTCAAGGTCGTCCAAAAACTGCAGTCACCCAAGAAAACGTTGATACTGTGCGTAAGCTGATTGAGGAAGATCGACATGTGACATACCACGAAATTCAGGCAAATTTAGACATTGGCATGAGTCAAATACAAATAATCTTGCATGAACAATTAGGTGTAAAATAGTTGTTTTCCCGATGGATACCGCATTCGGTCTGTGAAGAGCAAAAAGCGGCTCGCGTTACTTGGTGCGTCAGAACTCTCGAAAGATTCCACGCAGGATCCTCAAATGCTGTATACAACATCGTATCAGGTGACGAATCCTGGATATACGCGTACGAACCCGAAACAAAAAACCAGTCACGAGTTTGGGTGTTCGAAAATGAGTTAAAGCCAACAAAAATTGTTCGTTCACGGAGTGTTGCAAAAAAAATGGTGGCCACGTTTGTCTCCAAAACCGGCCATGTTACGACTATTCCTCTTGAGGGACAAAGAACGGTTAATGCAGAATGGTATGCTAGCATTTGTTTGCCACAGGTCGTTTCTGAACTCCGTAAAGAGAACTGCAACCGCCGCATCATCCTCCATCACGACAATGCGAGTTCTCACACCGCACACAGAACAAAAGAGTTTTTAGAGCAAGAAAACATAGAATTATTAGACCATCCGCCGTACAGCCCCGACCTAAGCCCTAATGATTTCTATACTTTCCCTAAAATAAAGAATAAATTGTGTGGACCGAGATTTTCATCACCTGAAGAAGCTGTGGACGCCTACAAAACGGCCATTTTGGAGACCCCAACTTCCGAATGGAATGGTTGCTTCAATGATTGGTTCCATCGTAAGGAAAAATGTGTAAAATTTCACGGAGAATACTTCGAAAAGCAATAAATACATTTTTAAATAGTAATGTTATGTCACTTCCTTGATTCCTGAAATGTTCAGTGCCGCCCTCGTACTAGTAATGTTTCTGTTGTTAATTCTATTGTAAAAACCGTATCAAATTCGGCATAAATGTCTATTTAACAATGTTTTGAATAGTGATAGCTATATATAATTTAATAACAGTGTAGTGGCACAATGCAAGAATATCCTCTGTCCCATATCGTTCCGTGGGTGCCGAAAGGCGACAAAGGGAAATTGAAACAGAAGATTTGCTGCAGCACCTTCCTAATAATAACTCAAAATAATAAAAAAACTGCGGTTGCCAACCCGCCTGCCAAGCGTGGCAACTTACCCTATGGCAACTTACCACCTATGAGGAAGTAATGGATGGAATGGATAAAATATAATTTAAAATTTAAGATGAGTTAATTTGTAATTGATTATTATACTGATAATTTAAGGCACTCATCGTAGCTACGGCTATGTCCAACAGGAATATATTTGCAAATACGGGCTCCCTTAGTAATTTTGTGGGTGTTGTACTCATATATGTATATATGGGTACAAGACCCACATGTATATGGGTACATACATGTATAATGTAAAATTTTTCTTACCTTTAGGTTTTAATTTACGCAAATATGATATATTTGCGTAAATTTAATTTAATTATATCTAGGATACAATCTCCATCGAATTAAATTGATGTTGGAAGAAGAAACTTTTTTGTTAAAATCCAGGAGGATAATAAGTAAAAAGCAAGTGGGTACTAATTCTGCAGAGGTAGTGGATGCTCAAATGGACTAGGAATGATTACTTTGGAAATGATGATCAGACGAGATGTAATAAAAGCTTTGCATATCCAATGAAAAAACATGCTAAGGAAATCGTTACTAATGTGGATGTGAAATAAATTCCGAAAAGAAAGTCAACAGAAGGACCATTTTGAAATTTTATCCTATGTACTTAAGGGAAGGTGAGTATATATGCAATAAGAAAACAAAATTATTTACATAGCTTTTAAGAAAGACATAATATTTTTTCATTAGCTGTAATGAAAAACTTCTAGTCAGTTAACAATTAATTAGGTTTAATTCGCTACTGAACTTTTGGTTTATGAAACCGTGCGCGAGTACCGAAAATACTCGCGCCAAATTTTCTTACATCTGATAGGAAGGTTAACTTTTCTTTACAAATACCACCAGTAATTTTCATTATTTACGGTCCGATATAATATACCAATATTTTGTATGCACGATCGTGTTCTTGTGCACTATCCGTAATTTTACTGTCAAAGTTTTGAAATTCAAAGTCTATATTTTGCTACTTCGTCTAATAAAGCTCAGACAAAAAGCATCTAATAAAATAAAACAGTTTAAATTATAATATTTTATAATTTTACACTTATCGCTTTTGTATTGTTTGAAATTGTTGATAACTTCGTGGTTACAGATTCTTCTGATTATTTTTATCGAAATAATCTACTTTCAGAGTGGTTTTATTAAACGCTTAATATAATATTAATTATATTGTAACGTTTAGCAGTTAGTTGAGGCTTTAGAGAATTCACTAAACCATGTAATTTCGTAAGTGGCAACAATGGGAAATGCCAGAAAGATCTTAATATGGCTTCTAGCAGATGGTAGACCACAAACCAATAATAATTTCCAGCTACTACTGACTCGTAAAAAAGAGCAAAGATGCGAGATATTTGGCATGCTAAACCGCCTGCCGAACGTGGTGGAGAGGCCCATTTAAATGTACAGACCTTTATTAATTATTATTGGTATAAAGATATACTTTATACCAATAATAATTAATAATACTTTTCATACGCGGTAGAGCCAAGCTGCAGCTATAATTATAGTATTGTTGTAGCACGAACGGGTCAGCTCCACCAGGGAAGGAACACTCTCTCACAGAATACAAGCGTAAAATAGCAGCTTAATGCTGCTGTGTTTCGTATGGTGAGTGTAGAGAACCGGAGACCCTTTTTACTGGAAAAGAGGCATTTCATTTTAGTCCTCGAGGCTGACAACGCATCTGCATTTTGATTCGCAAACAAGGATAGATGTACATATTTGGGCCTTAGCAACCACTTACCATCAGGTGGACTGTGTGCTCATTTGTCACCCTATTTCTATAGAAAAAATAATACTTACAATACATATCCTAGACTCCAATGTGGCACCAAGATTGACATTGGAAAAAATGACCTTATCCTTGGAATAGTAAAAGCCTACTTCGTTAAGTTGCAATATAGGCGGAGAGAGCGGCTCCGTCTCTGGAAACCTTAGTTGAACATCCAATTCTTTTTCTACTGGCCTCAGTTCAGGGCTACAGAGAACAAAATAATGGTAATTCAATTTATATAGTTTTTGAGATTTTTACTTGCATATATGTATGCAAATTTCAACTACTTACAGTTTGTCCAACATTTTTATTTTGCTCTGCACGGAGGAAGCCCGGTTCGCGTTATATCGGAAGCGGTCGATAAACTCCTGCATATGTGCTCGCTGTTGCTGCTGAGCCTCGTACTCACGTTGCTGATTCTTCAGCTTCTCAGTCTTTGTTTTGTGGAACTGTTCGTAGTTACCTCTACGGATGTAAAAGATATTAGTCAGCATGTTTTAATAAAACAAGTAAACGGTTTTCATTAATATTGAGTTTGTCGAGATAATGGTGACAACTTCAGAATAATAGGAAGTGTAAGAGGTACCTGTCTGCGAAGCGTGGCAACTATAGGAAATATCACCCTGATGAGGCAATTTATGGGGGAGGCCTAGTTCAATAATTTGGACAGGATTTTTGATAGGATGGTAATGAATGAATGAATAGACACTCCCCCTAACAAGCTACGATGTAACTCTTACGAGAACTTCAAAATAATCGGGTGCGATAAAGGCACTCTTCCTAAACACGCTGCATAGTAACTCTTAGGCGAACTCTAGAATAATCAGAAGCGATAAAGGCACTCACATAAACATACTCATTTGAACAAACTCTTACGCCATAAAATGCGTTACAGATTCAAAGATACGGGGACAAACAACACAATCAGACCCGAAAATAGAATATAACATTTTAGCATAAAATGTTAGCTACTTGTGGTATTCAACAATGGAAAACTTAGCTTAGGTGACGACATAAATATGCCACACTGAGCATAACTTATCTCTTCTAAAGTTCTTTTTTATAGGATAGGGTGACAAACGAGCACACAGTCCACTGATGGTAAGTGGTTGCTGTGGCCCATAGACATCTACATTTATCCTCGTTTGTGAATCAAAATGTAGATGCTTTGTCACCCGTGAGGACTAAGATGGAATGCCTCTTTTCCAGTAAAAAGGGTCTCCAGTTCTTTACACTCACCATACGAAAACTAGCAGTGTTAAGCTGCTATTTGACGCTGGTATTCTGTGAGAGCATGATCCTTCCCCGGTCGAGCCGACCCATTCGTGCTACAACTATACTATTAATATAGCTGCAGCATGGCTCTACCACATACAAAAAAAGTTTATGGACTTCACATGGACACATATACAGAATATTTTTTTATTTATTTTAAACATGCATGTTTCCTCACAATATTTCTCTTCACGCTGACCACATGGTAAATCAACGCAATTACAATTAAACATTTTAATGATGCCGGCAGGGAATCTTACTTGTTAAGAGCTTGTTTTAAATCTTAAGTACTACATTTATTTTCATATAACACCACTATACAAAAATCTTTTAATGGAAATAATTGAAAATAAAAGGTAATAAAAGACTTTTTACGTACCTATATGTGTCTATCCTATGTGAATGTAAATGAAGTATATCTGTAGGTACCGTGTCCAAGAAGTTGCGATCGTGAGATACGACTAAGAGCGTCGTCGGCCAATTCTGCAGATAGTTTTCTAACCATATGATCGCTTTTATGTCCAACATGTTAGTGGGCTCATCAAGTAGCAGTAAATCTGGTCTGTAAGATGGAATGAGTTTTCGTATTACTCAGTCTAAGTCATAACATTATGTATGTTGCTAATTTTATCGTTCTTTACAATATCATTTTTAAAGCAATAATTTCTGTAAATATAAGAAATATAAACAAACTTTACTCAGATTTCATACATAGCGTTTTGCATCGGATTCGGAGCGCACTGTGAGATATTGCAATTCTTTTCCTTCTTTATCCTCCCAGACCAATAATTTGGGACTTTTCACGACAAAACAGAACATGCTTTTTTAGGCTAACATGTTTAGTATCGAGGGATGTGTGGAGGCAAGTGCACGCCCTGCTGTTTAGCGACAGAAATAGGTGAGAGAGAGGCACCCACTCCAAGGCAGAAAAGAAGTCCAAACATCTAATAAAAACTTTATCGTGGATAAATTTATATTGTGTTGTGTAGTACCACCATGCATATGTAGTACAGCATTCTACGTCTACAGCAAGAATGGCACTGCTCAGTCAGAGATAAACTTTACTAACCGTAGTGATGAAAATCAGAGACTAGTTTCACTTGTTTTTGTGCAATTTTACATTCTACCTTTTATAAGGACGGTTATTCATTTGACATGCTTTTTAATACTAATGATGATGATAACAATAGCCAACCGTATATGAGACTAAACAAAACCAATAGACATTATTATTATTGTTATTTTTACTTTATTGTACACCACAAAATACGATAAAAAAGAACAAATTACAGACATTATACTCACTTTGAGAATAAAGCACGTGCCAAGGCAAGCCTCATTCGCCAACCTCCAGAAAATGTTTTTGTAGCTCTGTTTTGCATCTCTGTCGTGAAGCCTAAACCACTAAGAATGATTGATGCTCGGGCTGGTGCTTTGTCAGCTTCTATATTCTCTAGTTGAGCATATATTTCACTCAGCTCTGTTGATAAATTAGTATCTGTTGATCTGTATTAAATAAGAATTTAGAAATCATCAATAACAAATTGTGGGACTATCATAAATGTCTTATCTGAATAATTAAATTAGCATGTAATATTTTCTTAATTTTTAGCAACAACATGTTAAACCCCAAGCAAATATAATCTATACAAATAAATAAAATTGAAGTGTCTGTTTGTAATGTCAAAATAACAGCTTTATACTAAATGCATATGAAAGTATATACGGTACTATTAACAAAAATACAATTTTCAAGTATTTGTCTGTCTGTCCGTCTGTCTGTCTGTTTGTTCCGTCTAATTTCCGAAACGGCTGAACCGATTTTGACAGGATTTTCACTGGCAGATAGCTGATGTCACAAAAAGTAACTTAGGCTACTTTTATTTTAGAAAAAGAATTAGGGTCCCGCGCAAAAAAATTAAAACCCCAAATAACACGCGGGCGTAGTCGCTGGGAACAGCTAGTATAAACTATTTCAGATACGCTGTCTTTTTGTGAATGGACAGACATATGAGATGATATGCATAAAATAATCTTTCCACTGGTTTTTCTTATATTTTTTTTTTGTAAATAGGAGTATGATTGTCTCTATTATTTAGCAATTTTACTAAATTACTATCTAGCTATTAATAATCTTGAATCACTTTAATTTCTCACCCATTATTAATTGCAGCTGTGATTTCCTTCTCCCTTCTAATTAAATCTTCTCTTACAGTATCACATTCTAGAACACTCTGCAAAGCCAAAGTTTCATCTCCTACCACCTCTTGTTCTACATGCAATATTGATATATGTGATGGTATTTTGAGTTGCTTTGCAGCAATCATCCTTAGCAATGTTGTTTTTCCCAGACCGTTTCGCCCTACAAGGCCATAACGACGACCAAACGCGAGAACAAGATCTGCTCCTTGTAATAATACCCTGAAAAATATTGTACAAAAATAATCCAAATATATTTTATTTTTATTTCTTGTCATTGTTTTGTAGCGATATAACATTATACAAACTGTTGTAACATTAATATTTTTTTAAATCATTAATTTAAAGTTTGTAAATCATTAATTTTAAATGGATTTTTTGAAGGAAATTTACAAATCTTGTGTTATTTTATGCTCAATTTTAAGAAAATATGTAAAATTAAAAAAAAAAACATTTAAAATTTTAGATGAAATTTTATTGAAAACAATAAACTGAATTATAAACAAAATTGTATAACTTGCATTTGGTTGTTGTGTTTGACTGTGATTCAACCTCAGGGTCTCTGTAATTGATATATTACACTATGTAGACAAGCATGCCGAATATAATCTAAATCTACATAAAATGGCTCAGCAGTGGATTTGTGATAGGCTGTAATGATGATGATGATTAATTAAATATAATAAGAATTCATAATGCAACATACCGATCACCATATGCAATGTCAAAGTTTTCTATTCTTATATCTTGAGTTCTATTTGTCCCTTTTGCTTCAAGCTTGCTATCTTTCTTAGATGTGACCTGTGAAGCCGTAGCAGTTTGTAATACAGGAGCAGCAGCAGGAACTTTGGCATCTTTTTGCTTTTGTTGTTTCTGTTGTAGCTTTGCTTCTGCTTTTTCTAGTTTTTTAGCATCTACTTTCTACAAAAAAATTGATTGAAATCACAATCAATAAAATTACTGTGTAGGTGTTTTATGTTATAGATTGATAATTATAGTCATTCATTCATTAACTCTGTAAATACTAGGAACAGACACAAGCTAGTAGTACCAGTTACTCTACTCCATCGAGTCAGTAATTCATTCTTGGGGCGATGTATACTCTTTTACAACAAAATTCCAGGAAAATATACAAAATTTCATCTACTCAAAGTTCAAAACCTTTATTAAACTAAGTTTGTATAAAAAGTGTTTTTATAATATTAAAGAATTTTGGATGATAATAACCCCTGGAAATGAGGTGATTGCTACAAAGCTATTTCTAATTTGTTGTGTTGTTAATTTGTGTAACATACATGATTGTAAGCTGTTATTTAAAAAAAAAGTCCCGTTGGGTTTCTTGCTGGTTCTTCCCAGGACAGAGGTTTTTTTTTTTTCGAACCAGTAGTAATTAAACAAAAGAGTGACTTTCAATAAGTATTATTTGTAATCTATATTGAATAAAAAAGAGTCTGTTTCTGTTATAATAATCGAAATATAACATAAAAATCCTGAAGACAGGCAAATGGTCTGAGAACAAAGAAATTAGTTAGATTTTATAAAAAAAAGTTACTCTTAGATTTTATAAAAAAGTTGCTCATGTTCTTACCCTTTTGTCTACTGACTTCAAAAAGGAGATGGTACTCAATTCAAATGTTTTTTTTTTTTGTTAACTCATAACTTTTTACTGGGGGGACCGACTTCGATTATTCTTTTTGTTTTTTTGAAAGCTGGTGCTTCTCATGTAATACGATACAAATTTGATCGAGGTCTGACCAATAGTTTTTGAATTATCTTATACTAAATTCTACACTATAATATTTTGAAAATTTGTATTACATAAACAACATTAACAAGTAGCAATTTAGAAGTCTATTGTCCATGTCACACATAAACTAGTAGTTGTTGGGAGCACAGCACTGGATGCTGTTGAAGAATAATTGGGCAATTTGTGTTCAACTGGTAAATCCAATGTCAACAGAGAGGTCAATCATTGGATCCAACTAGGCTGAGCAGCAGCATCCGGTAGATCACAACACATCTTCTCATCACATATACCTCAACCTGAAAATGACAGTGTACAACCAGTGCATGTTGCCAGTAATGATATAATGGACCTAAGACCACATGGTGCTTCACTACTGGTTGTATGAGGAGGCTAAAAGATGCTCAGAAAGCAATGGAGAGAGTTATGCTCAAAGTTTCTCTGCATGACAAACTTCATAATGGTATCCACAGGAGAATGAAAGTAACTGATATAGCCCACAGGATTAGTAAGATAAAGTACCAATGGGCTGGCCACTAAGCTTGAACAATTGACAACCAATATGGCAGAAAGATTCTCAAGTGGCAGCCTCGTAAACCGTAAGTGAAGTTCAATGAAGAATATAAGGATAATAAAGAATATAATCTAGAATATAAGGGTTAATATAATCTAGAATATTAGGGAGTGACGAGTGACAACCACATAAGACATGCAGGAAGTTGACGGATCAAGATGGCTCAGGACTCTGCCATATGGCAATCCTTGAGAGGCCTATGTACAGCAGTGGACTTGCGTTGATAATTCTAAGTGTACGGTGAAAGGGACGAGTGCACAAGCATTATGTGTATTCTTAATAAGTTTGGTATTAAGCATTTTCTTAACTAAAGGATAAGTTTTACTTACAAAATTGTCATCTCTAGTCTGCAACCATATACTCTTAAGATCATCTGTTTCATTATTGGTTGTTGTCATTGAAGCAAGGTGTATAGGCGCATCTAAAACTTTTCTTGGTCCATTACTGCTACCCGTGTTATTAGGTTGAAGCATATGTAATAATTGCTCACATATATCTCTAAAAAATAATAGAATTATATAATAAATATAATAATCAATTTTCATAGTTAAACTTTAAAAATTAAATAAGTTGCCTTGATAAAGAGAGAATATTTGGATAGCCTTTATATATAATTGATATTAACACTTGTTGCATGGATCAGACAAAATGCAGTTTCATAATTTTTGTGTTTGGTTTCATTGATACATTTGTTAAAAGAAAAAAATATTACACATTTTTTTCTTTTAACAAACACAAACAAAAAGGTTCACATATTATAACACAATAACAAAAAAATTGATTGTTTGTAAATAATTAAATTTCATATATTAAAACCACAAGTGTGTTTTAAACTTAAAAATCTTACATTTCACATAAGCAAAAAATAATATCAAAATTTAATATCTCCTAAACTACACATTTCTGCAAAATAATATTTTAAGACTAAACCAACAAAAACAAGATCTGTTCCAAATAAGAAGCTTATAAATCAATTATAGCTTTTGTACAGTTGAGCCATAATTGCATTTAATAGAGTTAAATGTTAAAATCACATATGCAATAAAAACCCATTAGAGAAATGAATTAAAAACCTGATATCATCTTCCGATTTTTCTGATATTCCCTGTAACACTTCACCGACCGCTTCAAACACTTCTTCGGTATCCTCAAACTCTCCAGCGCTATTACCTAAAATATCTAAGAAAGAATAGTCAATCAATATAAATTATAAATATTCAAGCCGCACATACAATACATAATACTTAACTAGTTTAACAATAACTCCTAAATTTACAGAACCGACAAAATTTTAAATAAATATCAAATAACATAATGTACTTTACAAAAGAAAAATTTACATCGCTTTATAACCTAGAGAATACATACCTTCTACATATTTTTTAAGGTCGTCGTCTATTAAGGGAAATTGACTTTTAATAAAATCACCACAGTGAGCCATCGTAGATTTGAAACTGTGTGTAAATAGACTTGGTTTTAACCAAGGGGAATAAATTATATTAACATTTACAATTACAACAGTATCAAAACCGATGTCACGTCAACGTTGAAACCGAAACTGTCAAGTTTTTTTTTTGGAGTTTGTGGCCTGGTATCTAGACCTTTAGGCCAAATCTTGAGTATTTTTATTCGGTTTATTATAATTTCCCAAATGTATAATTATCTTTCATAGTTCACTGCTTCACAATATGTTGATGCGTCACATTGTGCAGCCCTTGGGAGATTTTGACGGCAACTTGAGCCAGCAGACAGCTGACAGTTGGCGATGGTATCTAAAGGCGCCTATGCAGACAAACAGCTTATCTTGAGAATCCATCACCATCAGAGCACTTGTTTCACCGTTTCCACTAATAGTTCACATGCGTAGACAATTAATACATAAAATCGCACCACTTTTACATATCAAAATCCACTTCAAACTATTATTTAAACTATAATACAGGAGCAGCAAACCGCCGCCGGTCAATTTTCCGCCAAAACCAAACTCTCAAGTTGAAGGTGAGCCAGAGCTGCCAGATCAAAAAACTCATTCAGCGCTAGGACAACACGAAAAGCGCTAGATTTCATAAAAACAGCGCTTTAAAAAAGCCCTAGATTCCGCGCTAAACACATAACACAAATAAAAAACACAAACAAAGTTTGTGTTTTTTATTATAATTTGTAATTCAAGAAAATATGACCATAATAAAGAAAACAACATTAAGTTTTTTTCTGGCAATATTTTTTTGATGTATCAATACTTCGCAAGTCATCGACTTATAATTATGGCAAATGCTGTCAACAGTAGTTAGTACTGTACGAACAATTAAAATGTCATCAATTGTTTTAAAGTGCAATGTATTTTGCAACTTAGTTTCAGATGTCAGCATCTGATTGCGGTTGCTACACAGTTTCTTTGTGTTGTAACTTCTAAGTAACTTATAACTTAGCTGTAGGGATGTGAAAAAATAATCGATTTTCATATTAATCGATTATTTTTTTCTTATAATCGATTTTTCAAAGTCGATTTTTTTTATAATAAAAATCGATTTTTAATAAATCGATTTTTATGTAAATTACGCTTTTCAATCGATTTTTGTAATCAGAGTAATCTGTGCGATGGATATAAAAACGTGAAGTAAGTTCAATAACATGAATAAGTCAATCAAAAAGAAAGAAAGTATGTAAAACAGTTTCGCTTTTCATGTTTTCAACAGGTTTCTTCCTCAGCTAGGAGTAAAAGTATTCTGTGGTTTTCTTTCTTTCTTTGGTTAGTGTAAACAATTATATATAAACAATAAAAATGTCTTGTGAAACGCGGTGACTGACAGAAGTATTTTATAATGAAAAAATGATAGCGGCCAACACGTCAATAGGCAAAAATACTGAATTGGATATATATATTGCGGCACCACTATCAAATCTCAAGGCAGATGCCCTCAATATATGGAGAAGCTCTGAAGGAACTTTCCCTAAACTAACCGAATCGGCTTTTAAACACCTCTCAGTGATGGCCAGTTCCGCGCCAGCCGAAAGATTATTTTTGAAAGCGGGAAATATTGTCAGGAAAAAACGAAACCGTAGTTTGGGAAAGAGACGAAGATGAATTTTGGTGAAATGATTGTTTTTAAAGTCTTTAACTGAAAACTCATGGCAATATTTTTTTTACACAAGTTTAAAAAAGATTTGTCTTGTATTTTAGTTTTGAGATCAAGAGGTTGTCGTCGGATTATTTATAATTATAATTTTACTTTAATTTTCAGTCTAATCCAATGTAAATGATACTGAACATTAGTGGCATAATGATATTTAGACTTTTTGTTTGTTGAAACTTAATTTAAAAAAAAAAACTATCGTTTACTAAAATTATGGTTTCTTAATGATTTCTTGTATTTACGCGAAGACTACACATTAAATGAAATAAATTTTTACGGATTTGATCACGCTTAATTTAACTTTTTAATTCCTGACCTTTCGGGTGCTTCACAGCACCCATGGTCACGGGGGGAACTGAGGTCTTTGACGTCCAGATGTCATAGTTAGCCTGGCTAAATTCAGTTTTTGAATATTAATTTTTGGTCCGATCTACGCTGAATGAGCTTACAGTATCTTGAAGTCTTACAGTGGTATGCTTGGGTTTGGATTTAATTTTATTAATTATAGGATGCCAAGCAGATGGCAGCACCCATCCATCTTCTCGATTGAAATTAGGATGTTTTTTAATTTCGATAGCCTCGCGAATCATCCTTGGTAGGAATCGGTGTTCTTTTGCGAGGATTTGTGGTTCAACTATGACATAGGGACGTCAAACACCTCAGTCCCCTCTGTGACCATGCGTGCTGTAAAGCACCTGAAATGTCGGGAATTAAAAAGTTAAATTAATTGCGATAAAATCCGTAAAACTTAGTTTAATTTATCGTTTCTGTTTATTTTGGTTGTAATAAATTGTTAAATGGCGCTGAACATTAGTGACAGTAATTATTTTTAGTTTTTTATTCTTCAAAGTTATAATATGTTAAAAAAATTGTTCTGTAATTTATTTCTAAAACCAGAAGATTATTTTTCGAATAAAATATTTCTCTTTTCGCAAAAATCGATTATTTTTTTATAATAAAATCGATTTTTCTTAAATCGATTATTACACAAAGCAAAAAAATCGATTTTTTATTAATCGATTTTTTTCACTCAATGTCACATCCGTACTTAGCTGTGCTCTAAACAACTGACTGAAACTGAATAAAGCAAAATAAATGCGTTGCCAAAACCATGAACAAAAACTTTAATAAAGGGGATTTCCCCGTTTATAGTCGTCAGTAAAAAAATCAAGTTGATCATCCTAAAGGGGGAGCCGGGAGAGCCATAGCACAGGGTATCCTAGTTTGGATTCGTCTCCCATGCTGTTTGTTTTGTGGAAAAAATATGATTGAAAAAGATAAACTGCTATGTAGGTACTGTTTGTGGGAAATAATAATAAAGGTTATTATTATTATTATCGGTAATGTGGACTAATAGTGCTGCTATAAAAGATTTAGATAACCTGCTAGACGCTACAATTTTGAAATGTGTGCTAATTACACCAAAAAGCGCTGGATTAAGCGCTAGGTGCTAAAATTTCGAAATGCGCGCTATACATTCAAGCGCTAGATCTAGTTCCCAAAGCGCTAAAATGGCAGCACTGAGGTGAGCATTTTTATTGGTCATGGACTCGTACTTTTTTGCCAGATTTATATAACCACTTCTTAACAATAATATTCTGATGATAGCCAACAGACAGTCAACGCTGATGTTCTCAAGGCACCTAATAGACAAACTAGCTTGAGGTTTAAGTCAAAATTGGAGCAGTTCTTTCATTATTTCCACTAATAGTTTTCATGCGCAGTCGTGCCCCTGGACGGCCTCTCGCCTCTCACGCCAACCTCGTCATACACCTCCATACCCACGCTCACCGCAGCCTCCCTACCTTCACCCGCGCACTCCACGCACCCAATCACTGCGAAAAGCAACTTCACCGAACGTGAGGATAATGCCGGCCCCGTGGCGCAGCGGCTTACCAATGATTTACAGCGCTATGAGCCGCGGGTTCGAATCCCGCACGGAACAAGTCTTTGTATTGCCTACAAATAATTGTTCTGGATCTGGATGTTTGTCTTTCTGAAATTTATGTATGTAAACTATTCGCGATACAAGAGAAAATCCTAGTGTGGATGTAACGTTTTGATGTTTAACGTTTGATGAATCTTCGCCTTCACACTGGGTGCTGATGCCGACCGGTAAAATCACGACTCTGATCGAAGGTACTTACTGATCGAAAAGAATGATCATCGACCATTCTTCATGAGATGAACGGGAGTCTGCTTACTCTGAAGTACCTTGAAAGCAGTTAGGACACAATTCAACGTCCAAAGATCTTGATTGAAATGACTATAGAGCTACATAAACATTAGCTAGACAATTATTGTTGATAATCTATGGCCATATTGTTGCTAAGTGGTCATATTGTTGCGAAGTGTACCAATTAAATTTAGATACAAATTGTTTAAAAATCAATATTCAACCACTGTAGAAAATAAATTTAGGCAACGTATCTATTTCAAAACAAAAAGTACTCCGTACTCACAGTAACTGCAATTTTAATGTTATTAATAACATAGGATAGCACATTGTAAATAAAAATATTATTTTTCTGTATGCTCAATTATGAGAAATACCTAAAGAAAGAATATTATTTCCTTAATTTTAAAATCAGCCAATCAATGTATGCAATATTTACACCTTGTAAAGACATATTAATGATAATATAAAAATTTTTATAATACCAACAATGGCATGTAGGGGGGGTCCACTACCCCCTAACTCTATATCTTCCCGTGGGTGTGGTGGTGGGACTACTTCGGAGGCGTGGACCAGAAGTGCGGTGGTCTTGTTCTCCAAAAAAGAACACAACGCTCTCTTGAACCGATTTCCCTTGTGCCACGTCTACGTGCTATTTTCGAGAGGTATTACGAATCGTCTCGCACGCAGACTCGACTACTTCCAATATCCTAAACAATCCAGATTCCGAATAGACTTTAGCACCACATACATACCCTTCGGCAAATGAAGCCCTGTACTTCTGTACAGGCTGAAGAGTACAATCTGCAACTTTATCTGCATATGTGGACCATGAGAAAGCCTTTGACGCTACAGTCTCTTCAGCGGTGCCAAGTTGTCTGTAGAAGTGCTAACCTAACGATACTGTTGTAATTATCTATGTATGTGTGAAATTATTACTTTATAATTTAATTTGTTATGTGTGAGTTTCGTAGTGACTAACGATTGTTATTGTGTGCACAGATTTCCGACAGACTTGACAGACAGTTCTGTATAGAAAAGACGCTATGGCTACTCCTATTCGTTTTGCCGGTGGCCCTTGTTGCTCTATGATTTTAGCGTTTAATGTTGTATTCTTTTTGGCTGATTGCTAAAATAGCCATTGTCACAATCTTAGAGGAATTACATACAGCCACAATCGTTATATATAAAAATTACGTGTCGCGTTGTTTGTCCGCGATGAACTCCGAAACTACAGAACTGATTTCAATGAAATTTCGTACACTGTTGCAGTTTGGTCCAACTTGAGAGATAGGATACTTTTATCCCGATAAGTGACCTTCAATATTTTTTATTGCGAATTTAAGGATTTTTTATAGGAAGGGTCGTCGAAAGGGGCAGAACAACATCTGCCTGGCCAGCTAGTAAACGATAAAAACAAAATCTTTGATGCAGGAAGTGCCAAATAGTATCGATATTTTCAGACGATATTGATATCTATTTCGATATATCGAAATAAAAATATTGATATATTGGTGAAATTTTCTTTATGAATTTCTATTGTGTTTGTTTTTACTGGTTTACTTGAATAAATCTATCAGTATTACTACTCATATAAATACCAAACTAGAAACATCGTTTCTGATAATCACGTGACGGTAACAATCACATATCATAAAACATTGACAAAAATATAATGCTTAAAGCGAACGAAATAAAATAATATCATATATAATAATATCAATAGTATCACTTAAATACATTTGCAAACGAATACTTATCCAATAGACACAAACGAAAAACTTTATATTAAATGTGCTCTGCTGAAAGTCGTCTTCTGCTATGGGGTAAAATCAACAACTGATCCACTCTCTCGTATGAAACTGAGGATTCTTGTGACAGCGCGGCTGACAGTTCAAAATTATAATGGATTGTCTGAGTTTTTATTTAGTCGGTGGTGACAAAGGTAATATTGGAAATATATTGTTTTTGATACATTTTCCATACTTGATACTATCGATGTATCAATGTAACGAAGGAAACGATATCGCCCAAAAATATCATTATATTGATATTTTTTATACAAGCCTACTTTGCCCTATGGACCAACAATATTACCAACCAAAGAATTTTTATAATCAAGTTGCCAACCTTAAATCCCGTCCCGCCGCAACGCAAAATTTTAGCAAAAAGTATACATTTATTAATTTTCCTAGTTTAAATTATATATAATGACCGATTTAATATATAAAAGAAATGAAAAGTCACTAGGTTTGCTAACCACGAGGTTTGTTTCATTGTTGCAAAAAGCTAAGGATGGCGTTTTAGATTTGAAAATAGTGAGTATACATATGTATCTTGTCACTTCGCACGAAAAATAGTCATTTTAAATGACAAAGTGAGCACATAAGTTATTGCATTTTCAGGCGACTGAATTGCTGGCTGTGCGGCAAAAGAGAAGAATATATGATATTACTAACGTATTGGAAGGTATTGGGTTAATAGAAAAACGCAGTAAGAATAGTATACAATGGAAGTAAGTGTATGGTACAAAAATTCAATGCAATAATAAAATTGTAAGCCTTGCGTGAAAGATACGTTGGGTACAACTTGGAGTAACATTAGCTTTTATTTCAATACCCAAAAGGAAGATATGCAAATTTAAAGTATTGTAAAATGTATTTTCATACATTTTATTTACTTATTATAAGCCAGTGCTTGACCACAACCCACCTGGTGGTAAGTGGCGATGCAGCCTTAGATGGTAAATCGCATTGTCTTATCGTAACAAAAGCCTGTTCACTCTTGCCTTGAAAACGCCCAGATTGTAATCAGACGGAACAATAGACGCCGGCAAATTATTCCACTCCTTTGCTGTACGCATTACAAAAGACTAAGCAAAGCGTTTGGTTCTAATATGTGGAATATCTGGCTGTTCAGTTTTAAAAAAATTACTTAAAAATTATAGTAGTTCATTATCACTAGGATATAAACAAATTTTAAAAATAGGTATAATACCCTATTAAATGTCAACAAAGTTATTGGTTTTGTGAGGCCTGTCGACCTGAGCTCTGAATATTGATACATAATGTAGTTTTTAGATTTTTTTCTTTGAAAATGGCTAATGTTGTACCTTGATGCTAAATTTCAAGTTTCTAAGTTACCTAAAAGTGCCCTAGGTTTTTCATGACTACTGCCAAGTCAAAACAGCAACAACTTTCCAGTTTTCATTTCATTAGCAACACGGACAAAGCATGATCTTTAAGATCCTTCTAAATCCTCTGCTAGATATAGGCCTTTCCTTAGAAAGCGTCAAATGATGCATTTTTTAAATGATACACAATGGTTTACCATAAAGAATTAGATATGGTAGATAGTAACTTACAGTACATTACAACAAATTACAGGCTTATGTGTTCAATTACCTTCATTGATTTATGTAGAGAATTTTAACCATACATAGCTAACATTCCTGAACTAATATGATAAACTTTCCATTTGACTTTTTGACAATAATTTTTTAAATGTGTTTTTATTACAATTTTATCTTATTTTTATCACATTTATTGCATTTATAAGTAAATTGGGTACCAATGTTTAGAAATTGCTTTTTTATTTCTGGTGTTATAAAGAAAACCCCCTTAAAATCAATGGTAAATACCAAATGGCGAAGAATTTTTTGGTGCAAGTTGGACAAAAGTCGTTTGTTGTATGTTTACCACAAATGGGAACTCTGCAGCTATTACAGTAATTCTATGTCATGTGCCTTTTCTTATGGGAACACATACTGCAGCCCTTTTTGCCTTGTTAAGGTATTTTCATCAGAGGACTTCCAGAGGGCTCGGAATTTCTCTGCCTGATAAACTTAGAAATGAGGATATCCACAGTAGAACCAGAGTTTACCGTCATAGCCCAATGGATTAGTAAGCTGAAGTGGCAATGGGCCGGCCATATAACTCGAAGAAACGACAACCGATTGGGAAGAAAAGTTCTTGAGTGGCAGCCTCGTATCAGTAGCAGAAGTGCAGGGCCGCGCCCCCCAAGATGGAGTGACGACCTGATACGGCATGCAGGAAGTCGATGGATGCAAGTGACTCAGGACCGTGATTTGTGGCATTCCTTGGGGTAGGCCTATGTTTAGCAGTGGACTTGTGAATGGCTGTAATGATGATGATGATGATGATGACTTCCAGAATGTCACTTTCCACATCATTTACCAACAAACCATTTTCATTCTCACTATCAGAAAAACATCCATGTTGATATAATTTCCATCATCTTACAACGCACAATAGTTCGACATAGTCGTTATCTGTGATCGACCTCGCAGCCATTTTTCACAAACAATGTTATAACAAAAAAAAAACAAAGCAAAAATCAACACTAAGTACAGGTGTAAAAGTTACACATAAGCTAACCATTTGTCAAAATGATGAGTATTCGGCAGGTATCTCAAAAACAAAATTACTTACTGTTGTCATTAAGTTGGCACGAAACTACGAGTGTGTAGGTAAAACCATTAGAAAGGGAGAGAGAGATATTTATTAGATGCTCGTCATTTTGATGAACGTTAGCTATCTAGGGTTAAAAAGACTGTCAGTTTATTAGCTGGTAGAGCTATGCTGCAGGTATTTTATGTACATGTAAATTTCTTTCACAGAATACGAGTAGACAAGTGTAGAGACCTCCCCATCTCCGATCTTTGTCCTCAGGGGTGACAGTGCATGACAATCAATAGATTGACGATCGATGTAGGTGTTTATATATACCACACATATTATGTACAACATTAAGTCTTATGTATATGTATGTAAGCATGTAAGTGTATGTAAAGAGCTAAAGTATGTAGTGCAACATTATATTTGTTCAAAATGTAACACTAAAAAGCAAAACATACTAGTTCCAAATTTTTCATTTTTAGTTATAATTGTTTACAGAGGTGTCGGTCCAGATTGCAATACAACAGACATAGGAGAAAGAGTCACTTTATTGAGAAGACAGATTGGACGCCTTGAAGAACATGAAATATTGTTGGATAAGTATGTGGGCCTCTAATTAAAATTTCATAATTTATGTGTTCTAATTATAATGTAACTAGCTTTGTGTCCTAACACTATACTGTGTATATATATAATAAGGCCTAGCTACTGAATATGTAGTATAAAACACAAGTTACTTAATCAGTGTCTGTCTGTATTACTAAAGGCTTAACCTATTTTATGGACTTTATCTGGTTTTTTCTTTTTCATAAAGAGTTTTTTGGATGGATTTTGCTTTTAGTGCACAAGGAATACATTTTTATCTAAGTATAGTAGCGCCATGTTGTTTTTTTTATATCAAGACACTCCTTAGTTTAGTTTAGTTTACGACAGGCTGTTTTCCGCAACTCGACGTCTATGCGCGTATTTTGCGTATGGGCAGGAATAACGTGATTATTCGAGCCATGAGATCTCCCCGAAGAAGCTCAACAGTCCCTTGATGTTGCATGCAACTTCGGGGAGTGATCCCGGCGTGCCGAGATGTTTAGCCCTGTACGTAGCGACCTCCGGACATTTCAGTAGCACGTGGACCGCCGTTTCTTCCTCCCCCATACATGCCCTGCACAGGGGACTATCTGTAACACCTATAGTAAATAAATGTTTCTTAAAGGTGCCGTGTCCTGTGATAGCACTTGTTACTATCCTGATCTGCGGCTTGTTCAGTCTCATTAAAACTTTGGTTAAGCAACTGTTTATTTCAGGCAGGGCCTCCCTAGCTTGTCTACAGTCTACTAGATTTTTCCAAAGCTGAGCATGTTGATTAGTGAAGTGTCTACGTACCAGTGAATGAACGTTACCAAAGGGGATTGGTATGATTGGTTCAGCCAGTTCGTCTGCTGCATCGTTGCCTTTGGATCCAATGTGTCCCTTTATCCATTGCAGAGTCACATTGTTGTGTTTACATACCTCATTTAATCGTTGATGGCATTCATATATTAGTCCCGAGTTCACCACATTGCAACTCAGAGCTTGTAGAGCTGGTATGGCCGCTTGAATGATACCCATACATTCCGCCTGAAAGACTGTTGTAGGTACCCAGCGGTGTGCATATGTGAATATTGAGGTCTTCAGAGAAAGCTCCAGAACCTACACCTTCATTTAATTTAGAACCATCGGTGAAAATTCTAAGCTCTTTTGGGCTTAATCCTTCCGGCTGGCCGTTTTCATTTAATTGTATCTTGTACTTCTTATCGTAAACAAATTGTTTAGGAATCTTATCGTATTTGGCTTGTAGGATAGGAATTTTTGAGTGAATTCTATCAATTATGCCTGTATGAGGGACACTATTCTTACTAAAAAGATTTAGGGTCTTGAGTCTGATGGCACCTAAAGTCGCTTCTTGTTGTATATGTAGATGAAGCAGAGTTAGCTCCAGCATCGCTTCTAAGGCTGCTGTTGGCGTAGTTCTCATGCAGCCTGTGGCAGCCATACATGCCAGTCTCTGGTAGCGCTGAAGCTTCTTAATTGTGGTGGCTTCATTTGTCTTGGTCCACCATACCAGAGCGCCGTATGTGATCATGGGCCGAATTACAGTTTTGTAAAGCCATAGTATGATTTTTGGCGTCAGTCCCCATCTTTTGCCAATCATGTTTCTGCATTGCCAGAAAGTTATACTAGCTTTGTTGATTTTGTTTTCCGTGTTTATTCCAGTTAAGTTTGCTGTCCAAGATAAGACCTAAATATTTTACCTCAGAGGATAGCTGGAGTTGTGTGCTGAAAAGACTTGGAAGATGATAGTTATTCAGCATTCGTTTTTGTGTGAACATTACTAAAACCGTTTTATTTGGATTTGGAGACCGTTAAGTCGTATTCCCTGCACCATCTCTCCACTATATGGAGAGCCGCTTGGGTCAGGTCGCAAGCATAGTGCTTGCTGTCTTTCCAGAGACCAGTATTGCCAGGTCATCAGCATAACCTACTGTGTAGAAGTGATTGGCATTTAATTTGCTGATGAGTTCATTAATGACCATATTCCAATTCTTAATTTGGATTGGTTGAGATTCACCAGCAATCTTTATTATTCTTGTACTGAGCATGTATACTATCAAGTCGATCAGTGCCGGTTCAACTTTATGTCTACTGAGTGCACCTTTTATGCTGCAGAAGTGCGTTCTGTCAAAAGCACCTTCTATATCTATGAAGGAACCAGACTAGAATATTTCTTTGTTTTGGATGGCCTCTTCAATCTTGGTAATTACAAAACCTGGTGAAATGCCGATTCTGTTGATTTGCCTAGACTGTAGGCGTGTTGCTTGTCGTGTAGTGGTAAGTTCATTAGCGCCGACCCCCTTAATTCCCTTTCACACATCCTCTCCATAGTCTTTAGGAGAAAGGATGTGAGGCTAATGGGCCTGTAGGATTTAGGGTCAGTGTAGTCGCTCTTACCTGGTTTGGGTATGTATGTGACTTTCACTTCCCTCCATCCCCTAGGAACATATTTAAGAGCCAGACAGGCTCTCATTATGGCAACAAGTCTGACTATTAGGGCTTTACCTCCCCACTGTAGGAGTGCCGGGAATATGCTGTCAGGTCCTGCCTTAGAGGGGAGGAAACTGAATGGCCCAATGGATTTTGTCCATCGTTACCACTCTCTGTGCTAAATTCCAGTCTTCTGCTGTTGGTGTCAGTATGTCGTCATGCCGGTTTGCCTCCTGAGTTACGCAGCAACCTGGAAAGTGCGTTTCAATTAGGATGCGTTGGGCTTCATCCGGCGATGTTGAGTAGCCACCGTCGGGTTTTTTTAGAGACATGGATCCCGACGTGTTCTGTTTAGCTAGAATATTCCTTATCCTATTTGCTTGTTCGCAGGTTTCGATGTTGCCACAGAATTTACGCCACCCAGTCGAGCGTCGATACCTGATACATTTTTTGTATTCAGACTTAGCTTTCTTATATAGTGGCCAGTCTTCATTCATTGAGGTATTCATGGCCCTATTTAGGGTTTTTCTTACCTTCTTACGTTTCCTATAGAGTTCTTTACCCCACTACGGTTGCTTTACCTCAGCATGCCCTGGTGGAGTGATCTCTGGACATGATTCATGGTAGCTATCTATCATGGCCTTAGTAACAGCTGCTACCTGTTCTTCTAGAAGCGACTGATCTGCTATAGTATTTATTCCCTCAAAACCCGCGAGCGAAGACGTCAGCCTATTTAGGTATTTTGTTTTATCCATCTTGCGGGGATTTCTCCATGGTGGTGTAGAGGGGATATCGACCTGTAGTGCGAAGCAGATCCATCTATGATCTGAGCATGAGGCCTCTTTCGACACATGCCATCCCGTAATTAGTTTAGCTGCTCCTTCTGTTACAAGTGTGAGGTCGATTATAGTGCGACAGCGTTTGTTTATGAAAGTTGGTTCAGAACCTATGTTTAAAATGGTTAGGTTAGTGCTAAATAAATATTCAACTAAAACCTTACCTCATTCATTTGGTCTTTCCATTCCCCAGAGGGGATGATGTGCGTTGGAGTCCGTCCCGATCACAACCTCTAGTCCGGTCCTCTCGCAGAAGTTCACCAGCCTGCCGAGGTCATGAGAGGGAGGAGTGTCTTCCTCCGGCATGTAGACCGAGGCGACGACTAATCTTCTCTCCTGTGTGTATTGTATTGCCACGGCATACATGTCTCTAGAACAGAAATCTGTTAATGGTTGTGCACAAATATCTTTAGTAATGTATATACACGCTCTAGGCTTGTCGTCGTGTTCAGAGCTGTAGAATAGCTTACCTTTTAGGTTGTTTAGGCCTTTAATTTTACCAGCCCCAACCCACGGCTCCTGGATTAAGGCTATGGCAGTCCTTTGAACCTCCAACCACTTGCGTAATTGAGCCGACGCAGTTTCGCTGTGGTGGAGGTTGGCCTGCACTAGGCTAGTTTTGGACGAAGGGCACGCCATCATTGATCGCGTCCTCCCCGTCCCCGCCCAAAAATAGGCCTGCCAGCAGATCTCGGGTTTCATCGTCAGCCACCGAGTCGGAAGTGGTCGGCAAAATGCCTCTTCGTCACTCAGTGAGCTACCGCTGAGCCCGATCTCTACTGGGGGCTTCGGCTCAATTGTGCAGGCCGTTTTTTCACTGGACTTGGCCTCCAGTGATTCCGCTGTACCGGTAACCATGGCTCCGGTATCCATAACTTCCGGGTTATTTTCTGCCTCTTTGCTCGGTGGAGTGTCAAAGAATTTACCTCCACGACCCTGGAATTTTACGTATACCGCCCCGCATACACATGCGAGACGGCGTCCGGCCTTCATCAGGGTCGGGATATGATTCTCCGGCACCGAAACAACGAGGAACCACCCGTCCGTCTGTTTATCAGCCTTGAGTAACAGCCAGTCCCTGATGTTAACCCAGTAGTTCTGGTACGCCAGCACGTGACCAATGTCGCGTGCGTCTTTACAGGCTCCTTGGGCATCAGGGATGAGGATACCACATTTGACTCTGTGGTATCTCTGTTTTTTTATGGTCAGCAAGGTGTTGGATTTAAGGTCAAGGGTAGCAATATTCCCCTTCAACCAATCCAGAGCCTTCTGATCGTCGCACCACAGTTTCAGGACACCCTCCGTGTAAACGGGTTTGCCCCTAAAAACTGGGCCCGACGCATCAGGGTCCTGGCTACTCCAGGCCTCGCTGATCATCTTCCTCTGTATTGCCACGAGGATGTCGTGTGCTACTTCCTTCGTAATGTGACCTGAACGCGCACACGTTAAGGCCACACCAAAACCTGCTTTAGCAGCGGAAGCGTAGCTCGTTCTTGCATCCTTTGGTTGCTGTTCGAGTCGCACTTTTTTGTGTTCCCCTCTAGGCGAGGTGGACTCTTCCAGCATCCTTTTGGCTGCTCTTTCCTTCTTCCCAGGACGCTTGGCCGCTCGCTGCTTCCTGGCGGATATCCTAGAGCTGGTTACCGCGGCCGCGACTTCCACTTGGGCTGGATTTATTATCCTTCCCAGCTTCAGCGCGGCTACTGGTTCCAGTGCCAAGCACCCCAGTCGCAGTAGTTTACCCAGCCTCCTTGGGTTTAGTTTCAGAAGCAGCTAATGCGGCTCGTTCTCTTCTGCCTTTTTCCCGCTGCTTCTTGTTCTTCTTTTTGGCCTTTCCACTACTGCCTGCAAGGATAGACCCTCCTGATGGTCCATCAGGTCGGCAAGTCACCTGTCTGGGTGCCTTGCCTTTCCCCCTTATGACTCACCACTTGCCAGGCAGCAGAGAAAAGGTCTTCAGTTCTTTGTGGCTCCGCAGTTTTGTTACTCGCGGGCTCTTGTTCTTTTTTCTCGTCCAGCTCCTCAGGTTTGGAACTGGTTTTGGAAACGTTCAGCGAGGTAGTTGTCCCCTTGGTGGGGCCACCTACGCTGGACGGTACTGTCCGTGGAACCGTCGGTTTAGTGACGGTTCCCCCTTGTTCTTTGGTGTCTCTGGTAAGCACCTCTGACGCCTCTCCCTCTTTCTTATTGGGCCTTAAATTGTCCATAACTTTTGTTTTTTAAAATTCGTCCCCCCGGCTTCCCACCCTCCATGGAGCCCGCACCTTTGGTAACGCCCTACTTTAAAAAAGAATTTCAGGCGTTAGGATTACCTGAAGAATATAGGGACGCGAAGTTGACTCACAGCGCGACATCGGGAGGTCGATCCAGCTGGTAGATGGGGCTGACAAGGCCCATTCCCACCACCCGAATAAACTGTCACTTGCTCCGTCAGCATGGCCTTTACCACTACCCAGCCCCCTTTTCAGGAAAACTAGGCAGCCCCCACATCCCTCGCCTGCGACCCTCTGACGGGACTCTTGGCCATTTCCCTATCTGTGGCTAGCTGATATGGCCACCGTTTAGCTTGAAATCCGGACCAAAGAGGGCGTGTTGCCTCTCGCCACTATATACCCCAGCGACGATCGGCTCAACCCTCGAGGACTCCTTCATCCCCGCGTACGGCGCTCAATTGCGCAGGTCCTAGCGCAGGTGGGTGTGTTAGTCCACCAGATACACCCACTCTCTCCGGCGGATCCGTCCCCTCCTCCTTTCTCATCCGGGCTTGGGACCGGCAATGGCGGAGTTAAAAACACTCCTTATTGGTGAAGCTTATGATAAATAAATTTATTTATCATAAGCTTCACCAGTAAGGAGTTTGACCAAATGACGGCTCCGTGGCGTAGTGGCTTAGCAATGAGTTGCTGCGCTGGGGGCCGCGGGTTCGAATCCCGCACGGTACAAGTATTTGTATGGCCTACAAATAATTGTTCTGGGTCTGGATGTTTGTCCTTGTGCAATTTGTGTTTGTAAACTGCCTCCACGATACAGGAGAAAATCCTAGTGTGGGGGTAACGTTTGTTTAAAAAAAAGAAATAAAGAAATAAATAAAATAAAATCATCTTACGAAAGTAAGTTCACCTTGTAAAAGTTAAAATCACTGCCTTATATATGTCTCACTTCTGGGCACAGCCATTCTCTCTCTCTGTTAACTTGTTTTTCACCCTAAGATTATAAAGAATAAAATCTTAAGTAAGAACATGTTTATCTGTGGCACAGGCTAAAAAAAAGTTATATATTTTGGCAGTATTTTAAATACTTATTAAAAAATCACTTTTATTGGTCGAATTGGAAAGATTTTAATTTACAACTTCAAAATACTGACTTATTTGCAGACACCTTCACTATATAGAACAAAGCATTAAAAATGTAATGGATGATGCGGATAATGAAGCTTTGACATATGTTACTGAAAGCGATGTAAAACAATGCTTTAAGGACAGTCAAGTATTAGTTTTAGAAGTTCCTCTAGGAGCTAATTTGGCAGTTAGTTCTCCATCTAATAAGGTAACATATTTTATTTCTAATAAAAGAGTTATTTTTTTATTTTACGTCTGGTGTATACGAGATGTTTACACCGCCGTCTATTGAAAGTTCTATCTGGTATATCTTATAGTTTCATATAACCATAAAATAATTAAACTGCACATTCATGTCCAGTTAATAATCTACAATTTTATACGTGGTAGAGCCATGTTGCAGCTATATTAATAGTGTAGTTGTAACACGAATGGGTCGGCTCAACCGGGGAAGGACCACGCTCTCACAGAATACCAGCGTAAAATAGCAGCTTAATGCTGCTGTGCTTTGTATGGTGAGTGTAGAGAACCGGAGACCCATTTTACTGGAAAAGAGGCATTCCATCTTAGTCCTCACGGGTAACAACGCATCTGCATTTTGATTTGCTAACGAAGATAGATGTAGATGTCTATGGGCCACAGCAACCACTTACCATAAGGTGGACTGCGTGCTCGCTTGTCACCCTTATTCTATATAAAAAAAAATTCAGTGAAGATTTAATCGGTAGTCATAGAGAATATATAAATTTATGGTTTGTGTACATATCACTTCTCTGCAAGTAAGTAAACTGGTATGTGTGTGATGTACTTATATGCAGCCTATGGTATTTGATGTTTTGGAAGTGTACACAGTCCGATAAGGTATTAAGAGAAACCATTATCCCATTTCATTCCATAGGTGTTGTAAGAGGCGACATAGGGGAAAGGCCCAAAAAATTTTGTGAATTCCAATAGATTGAAATTTATGTCAGATACAAAATCCCAGACCTTCACAGGAAACGGAAAATTCTTACACACTGAATATTTTAGAAATTTGTGAACATTTTTAAAAGTGTACCTAACCAAATAACATGGAATTTATTTTTTATTTTTGCTAGAACTGGTACAACCTAGCTTGTCAACCCGTACCCTCTTGACATTGATTTCGGGACATACACTGTATATGTATATATATTCATATTACTTTAGAACTATGTTTGGAACAACTAAAATGTTGTACAACATACTTTAGCTCTTTATGTAAGCTCTTAATAATTTATTGTCTTACATGAATATGTGTGGTGTCGTTTTTCTATAAAAGTCGAGCACTCAGTCCACTTGGTGGTAAGCGGATGCAGCGATCAATAAACACCAAAATAAATTTAATCATCATTTGTTGTGACTGCATTATATTGCATTTTCCTTAAATGAAATAAAGTAAAGACATGATAAATGTCATGAAGATTGACGTTTGACGACGTTAGAGGTGCATATTACATATATATACAGTACGCTATAGGTCGACATGGCAATTTCCTAGTAATGTGGCATCACATACCACATAGTTTATATCGATATTATTTTTGCACCGCAACAAAATAAGAGTGAAATTAATTAAATAAGGTTTATTATAAGTAAATTGAAAAAATATTTAATAATAATATTTTATTCATCACAATCAATATCAAATGAACTCATGTAATCGCTACAAGCACTTAGTGACTCTTCGTCGCTAGTTTCTCCGACTTTAAAAACATTCCATTACAATTTCCATTTTTATATCTTTGTTATTCCATTGTTATTTTTTTTGTAGGACAACGATCAATTTTACAGCTTACATGTAAAGTCTACTCAACAAGTTGGTGTCATACTTTTGTGTGATATGGAGAAAGAAAAGGTAATTTACAAAATATTTTTTTTTCAAAATAAATTGGTTGCATATGATTTATCGGATTTAGAAAATGTATTACAAAAAAAAAGAAGAAGTTTATTCCCTTGTTAACATGACAATCATCTATGCGGTGGTCAAGTTCGGCACATACACGTTCTAAGTGGTCCCTGTCATTGTTCACCAGCGTAGCAGTGAGTTAACCGATTCGACGATACGCCAGGCGTGCGATCGATTATTTTTCTCTGGCGTATGACACGCGAGTCGTGTCATTTTTAAAAATCAATTATAACTCGCTCAAATTGCGTTTTTAGAAGATTTATCCAGAACAAAATATGGTTTCTAGATACTTGAGAATTTGTAATTTTTAGGGGTTGACAATCTTTTTTAACTTATAGATGGTACGCCTTTTGCTGTGTGGGTTTTTTAATTAATAAATAATAACACTCATTGCGATTGCTCACAAACTCAAGTTGTTAACAAGTTTCTGGAAGGCGCAGTGTCATGAAATATTTATTCGCCGCTACAGCTAAAAGTTGTCGAAAATTGGTGTCGCAACGAATCGGTTAATGCCGTTCAGATAATGTTGTCAGCAAAGTTGGTAAAGTCCGCGCGTTCTATATTGGCTAGGCTGAAGTTAGTCGCGAATGGCTGCGATATAATTTTTAAGAACAAAATAGTGACAAGAGGATAGGGAGGGTGGGCTTTATCTAAAACGAGAGAGATACGAATACCCATATTGCGCCGTTACAATTACGTTAATAATCGATTATAGTTATTATTGGTTATGTTTCGATTTTATTCTATATTTTTTATGGTTCCTTGTTGTGTAAATGCAACAAATACAGTGATTGTAATGATGTGCATCAAATATTTTATTTGAAAATTTAAAGTTATATTATTTTGGGGTTACTGAAAGAATTTGTTGTCGCCACTAATATCGTGTATTTACTATATATTCAAACTGTTTATGGTAATTCATTTTAAGATGCTATTGTTTTATTGAAATACAGAAAGATATTTTCATGATAATAATTTTAAATTTATTTTATAATCGATAGATAGACAAAACATACTGTTCACCTAAGCAATCTTTGGAGCGAATATAAAGTGCCACATCGCTATTGACTAGCGTCTGTACATGCGCGAATGTCTTAGAAACTTCAGTCCGGCCAAGATAGAACGCGCGGATCGTAAACATCGTGTTTCTCATAGCCCCAAATAAATATCACAAACTGTAAGGAGAGGTTTCAGGTTCAGTTTAGAAATAACCAGTCTTGCAACATATGTAAATAGGTGTGCTCGTACACTATCTTACGGGAAACATCACACAAAATATTCACGTTTAGGTAATCTCTTTAATTTCCATCGTAACATTGGGATTTGCCGTGGGTCGTACGCGAACGTTGTGACGAATTTACCTGGCCGTTTAGATGGAATGTCACTAGCGAGTGATTCACAATGAAGCCTGCCTTGACACAAAAATAACTTTAAAGTAAGCTCTTTCCATTGGTAATTAGTATAAACGAGTTGGTATTATAATATGTAAATTGTATACATATTATAAGGAAACTATAAGATTTTAAAACACGATAAATCATTTGTAATTTTACCTGTATATAAACATTTTAACATTGTTTACGTGGTAGAGCCATGCTGCAGCTATATTAATAGTATAGTTGTAGCACGAATGGGTCGGCTCGACCGGAGAAGGACCACGTTCTCACAGAATATCAGCGTAAAATAGCAGCTTAATGCTGCTGTGTTTCGTATGGTGAGTGTAGAGAACTGGAGACCCTTTTTACTGGAAACGAGGCATTCTATCTTAGTCCTCACGACTGACAACGCATCTGCATTTTAATTCGCAATCGAAGATAGATGCAGATGTTTATGGGCCACAGCTGCCACTTACCATTAGGTGGATAGTGTGCTCGTTTGTCACCCTAATTCTATAAAAAAATTAAACAGAAATGTCAATGTTGAAATAACAGATTTAATTAAAAAACACAGTGTAAAATAAACGCAGTTAGGATTATTTAAATGTAGGTACTGTAGAGTCCATTTATTATGACTCCGCCTATATTGACCAACCGCTTATTATGACGTAAATACACAGCGAAGTTTGGTTTTCATATAAAATTCTTTATAATAAAGTCGGATATAATGACTTCGCTTATAGTGACATGTTGCATATTGTGACCCATTTTTACTAAATTGTGTCCGGTTATAGTGACCGACATGATTCCTAACACCTTGGCAGTATTCAGGAGAGTCAATTGATACCCGACGACGTTCATTGGCTCGTGCATGACTTTTTTGTTTTGAGTCTCAGTGGGTAATTGATTGTTGAAGGTCACGCCATTGTTTGTTAGTGATTTGTGAAAAAAAATGAAATCTCAACGTCAGTGCATCAGTTTAGAAAATGGAGAATCCAACTCTTCTCTCGCAAGGGAATTTGGGGTTGGTCACTCGACAATCTCAATGATTTTTAAAAACAAGAATTTATTATTAAGAATTTAAGTTACTTTAATTAAAGATATTTCTCTATTAAAATAAATACATACTAAGAAAAACTGGAGATTGTTTATTTACTATGACGTATGTATATGACGTCTGCTTAGTATGACGTGTTTGTTATCTCCCTTCGATGTCATTATAAACGGATTCCACTGTAATTTCTTTGTTAATTATTGCATCTTATTTAAGAGTAGTAATTTTTAGTAACAACGTTCAACATCCAGACGTACAAATACATTTTACAGCTAATATACTACAGACGAATGTCACGTTAATATCCAATGAATGACAAAGAATAACTAACCGACCAATCACGTGAAAGACTGTTCACCGTACATACCTTGAGCCTTGTACTTCACCAAAGAGACTTGTAAATCGAATATTGCGCATGTCAAGGCTGTGCTCACGACTCTTGTCGCTATGTATAGAGGACTATGCACCTTCTGCTAACTTCATTCCGTCGTCGTCTCCGTCGATGACTTGTCTTGACTCTTGACTCTTCGGACCTCAGGGTCAGACTGAGGTCCTTATTAACTTTATTATCCTTTCTTTAATAACTAGTTCCTTATCAACTTAAGTTCTTATTGCGAACGTTTTCCGCATGTTGCCACAGTGTGTGGCGGTCATTCTAAGCATTTTATGAATACTTGCTACTCGCTGGGTGATCCCAACACCGTTGCTAAATGTTTCGCCGACGTGGTACTTCAATAGTCCTTTTTATTCCATCTGTAGAGAATAGTCTCTTGCCGATACATTTTAAAAAGAGATAGCGGCAACAAATTCCAGCCTTGGTTTTTTGGTCGCTCCGGCTAAATTGCATTATGCCAAAAGCGGAAGTGTCAGAAGGAGGATGTGATGCATCGGTGTTTTGGGATACAAACACTAGCGTAATCTAAAAGAAGAACAACTCTGCCTCCAGATCCTTCCAGATCAGAGCACATTAGGAAAATTGTCGAGAACCTTGTTCCTCTTCCTTAGAGAATTCGTGCATTCTGGTCTTCCGCCAAGGCTGTCGTAGAGAATTTCCGTTAGCCATCCCTTCGATCTATGCACTGAGTGAAAGACTCGCTAGCACTCTCCCCTTGTTGCCTCAGCCAGTATCGGAATTCTTGGCGTCAACATATCGAGTGACGCTCTATTCAGTAGTCACTTAAAAGAAAGGGCTAAATTGGTCCCTAAAAAGCTTAGTATGCTCAGTAGAGCGCATTTACCACCCGTGGTACCACCACCAGTGCTGTGTCGAATCGTTTGAATTAATTCCAGCTCTGCGTTTGTATAATTCCAAATCTCATCACTAACATCTCCATGGTTGGTAATTCATCACTGTGTAATTAACAATAGGAACCTGTGTAACTAACCTGAAAACGAGGAATAGACCATTTGTGGAATTTAATGCCGTCAGTAGTATTTTCGGATCGATACAACTTAGATCCTCAAGAAAAGAGCCTACTTCTTACTCAAAATCTGACTTATCCTTCCTCTAGCGTTGCAGATATTCATGGGCGGCGGTGATCACTTACCATTAGTTTAGCTTCATGTTCGTTTCCCTCCTCTTATAAAAATAACTAAATCTATTAAAGATTTATATTTATCTTAGTTTATATCGTCACCATCATCATTACAGCCCTTCAAAAGTCCACTGCTGAACATAGACCTCCCTCAAGGAATGCCACAAAGCACGGTCCTGAGCCACCTGCATCCATCGACTTCCTGCATGTCTTACCAGGTCGTCACTCTATCTAGTAGGGGATATTATTATTATTTTATATAAATATATATAAATAATAAGATGGTGGAAGTATTATTTTGGTTCAATTTTTAACAGCAATTGATGATTGAACACTTCATGGCAAAATAAGTAAATACCAATATACACTGAAACAGAAGCAGAATTTTTTTTATTCAATATAGATTATAAATTAATACTTATTGAAAGTCACTGTTTTGTTTAATTACCACTGGTTAGAAAAAAACCTCTGTAATGGGAAGAACCAGCAAGAAACCCAGCGGGACTTTTTTTTAAATAACAGCTTACAATTCCACACTATCACTAGTTCCTATATCCTGCATGCTGTTTTCTAGAAAGGTTCATGAGTCTCAGTCGGTTTTTTAAGTGGTAGAGCCATGCTGCAGCTATATTACTGGTATAGTTGTAGCACGAATGGGTCGGCTTGACCGGAAAAGGACCACGCTCTCACAGGATACCAGAGTGAAATAGCAGCTTAACGCTGCTGTGTTTCATATGGTGAGTGTAGAGAACCGGAGACCCTTTTTATTGGAAAAGAGGCATTCCATCTTAGTCCTCACGGGTGGCAAAGCATCTGCATTTTGATTCGTCATCGAGGACAAATGTAGATACTATGGACCACAGCAACCACATACCATCAGGTGGACTGTGTGTTTGTTTGACACACTTATACTATAAGAAAAGTGATAATGCGACGGCTGGAATTAATCTGAACTCCTCAAAGTTCTCTCTATTTGCGTTATTGTATTGCTGGTAGTATTCAAATGTAATTAAGATAATTAACCTTGTTTCAGATAATGGAAGAAAATATGGTTGACAGTGAAGTACAGAGTTATACAGATAATAGTGAAAATATGTATCACAATTCAAGTAAGTAAGGAAGTATTAATCGTAATGATATGCTTTGATAAGTGAACTTCGAAAATTGAAATACTATTTTTATTAGTTACTAAAAAAGAGAAATGAAACTTACATCATTCGAAAGTAACATTGCCATAGATTTGCACAAAAATAATATCAGATGAGTGAATTTTGCTGTTAAGGCAGCTTAAATAAAGTTAAAATAAAAAAGCTGAAGCTTATGTCAGAATTTCATCACTCGCTCAAGGTCTCGCGTTATGTACTTAACGGCTAGAGTACTTCCGAGAGTACAAGTATCAGTGGGGTGCCGCACGATTTAAAGATATAATTTAATTAAATTTTAATTTTAGTTTTATAATTTAATTTTAACTATTAAAATAAACAATTAAAATATAAGAACATATTTATTAAATAAATAAAATTATCCTAATATATGATTCATTTATTCATCATCATCATCATCATCATCATTACAGCCCTTCACAAGTCCACTGCTGAACATAGGCCTCCCCCAAAAAATGCCACAAAGCACGGTCCTGAGCCACCTGCATCCATCGACTTCCTACATATCTTACCAGGTCGTCACTTCATCTAGTGGGGGGACGCCCAACACTTCGCCTGCCGGTACGAGGCTGCCACTCGAGAAACTTTCTTCCCCATCGGTTGTCGGTTCTTCGAGCTATATGGCCGGCCCATTGCCACAGCTTACTAATCCGTTGGGCTATGTCGGTCACTCTGGTTCTACTGCGGATATCCTCATTTCTGAGTTTATCACACAGAGAAACTCCGAGCATAGCCCTCCATAGCTCGCTGAACGACCTTGAGCTTCCTCATCCGGCCAGCAGTGAAGGACCACGTCTCAGTTCACTGGCAACACGCACTAGTTGTACAGTCTCGTTTTCAAGTTTTGAGGTATACCTGACGAGAAGATGTGCCGTAATTTTCCGAACGCTGCCCAACCGAGTTGAATCCGTCGATTGACTTCTCGGTCGAAGTTGGACTTACCTAGTCGGACTATTTGTCCCAGGTAAACATACTCGTCAACAACTTCGAACTTAGTGCTCCCAACAACTACCGGCATATGTGTGACATGGACATTAAACATGATCTTTGTTTTGTACATGTTCATCTTAAGACCTATCCGTTGGGAAGCACTATTGAGCTCATTGAGCATAGTGCTTAGGTCCTCCAGCGATTCTGCCATAAGGACTATATCGTCGGCAAATCGAAGGTGAGTGATGTACTCGCCATTGATGTTGATACCGTATCCTTTCCAGTCCAGAAGCTTGAAAACGTCTTCCAATGCAGCGGTGAAGAATTTCGGGGATATGACGTCACCCTGTCTTACACCTCTCTGCAATTGGATAGGTTTCGTACTCTGGTTCTGTACTCGGATAGCCATCGTAGCCCTACTGTACAAGCTCTTCAGCACTTCGATATACCGACAGTCCACTTGGCACCGCTGAAGGGACTGCAGCACCGCCCAAATTTCGACGGAATCAAAGGTTTTCTCATAGTCCACATACGCCGGACATAGTGGCAAATTGTACTCCTCTAACTTTTGTATAATTTGCCGAAGGGTATGTATGTGGTCTATGGTGCTAAAGCCTTTTCGGAAACCGGCTTGTTCGGGAGGCTGGAAATCGTCAAGTCTGCGCGAGAGACGATTCGTAATGACTCTCGAAAACAGCACGTAGACGCGGCTCAGAAGGGAAATCGGTCTGTAGTTGTCGTCTGGTCGTCATAATGAAGTCAATCTCATTTTTTGTGGTGGAACCGTCGGGGCTCGACCAGGTCCACTTCCTGTGGGGCCGCTTCTGGAAGAAAGAGTTCATCATAAAGAGTCCCTCTTTCTCCATGAAGTCGGCCAGCTGCTGGCCCCTTGGGTTCCGTTGCACTATTTCGAAATTCCCTACTTTCAGCTCACCGTTCTCTCTTGTGCCTAGTTTTGCATTGAAGTCTCCCATTAACACCGTATATTGGGTTTTGGAGGAATGCATGGCTCTAGAGATATCTTCATACATTTCCTCCACCTCCTCATCGGGGTGTGCCGAGGTTGGTGCGTATACCTGTATGACCTTGAGCGAATACCGTTTGGTGATTCTGAGTATAAGGTACGCAACCCTCGTCGACACACTCTCAATCTTTACAACGTTGTTAACGAGAGACTTGTGGACGATAAATCCGACTCCTCCTTGGGACAGATGGTCGCCCTCCCGGTAATATAGAAAGTTGCCGGATTCGAGGATTACCGTTTCCTCCACCTCTCTTCGGACTTCGGATAATCCTATAATATGCCAGCGTAACTTGTCTATCTCTTCTTCTAGCTCCACAATCTTCTCGTCAGTCCTCAGGGTGCGTGCGTTGTATGTTGCCAGGTCAAGTCGTCGTAGGTGGCAACCGAACCTCCACCGGAGATTCTTAGCACCCCCTGCCCCGCCGGGGACTGGGGGCCGTCTCTTAGTAACTTTATCCATTTGGGGGGTATTTGCCATAGTTGCCACGCTTGGCGAGCGGGTTGGCAACCGGTTTTTTTATTGTATTTTTGCTGTTACCAGGAAGATCTGCTGCCCATCTCCTGCCTGTTTCCCTTTGTCGCCTTTTACGATTAATAGTATTAAAATTAAAATTAAATACATTCATATTAGACTCTACTCAACTAAGCTTAAGGACTATATACTAATATATGTAATACCTTTAAACGAACAATTCTTGTATATGTATATAATCGGAATCTCGGAAACGGCTGCAGCCATTTTCATGAAATTTAGCATTCAACGGGTTTCGGGGGCGATAAATTGAATAGAAAATGTCGTTTTAACCGTGTTTTCAGGCAATGAAAAACTGCTACAATATCATTAGAATACGAAGGTAAATTTCGTCTCTATGTATGAGGTTATAATAGCTCAGGTGGGGAAATCGGGTGGTCCCGCAACCAGAAGACACCGGTTCGAGTCCAGATGTCTTCAGTCCGATTATTATTTTCCCTTTTTTTCAAGTTCCTCCTTTTGTGAGAAAAAATATTATTAGGAGCCATTTATCAACGCGTCTAATTTGTATCTAACTATATTTAAGAAAAAAAAAACACGAAGAAATCGACATAGTGCAAATATATTTATCCTATTGGCGATGTTTTGGTACAAAGATAAATGTCAAATCAATAACTCTAACGATAATCAACTCAAACAATTGGCGAGTAATAATACTATTATTTTCCCTTTATTAACGCATCTAATTCGTATCTAAGTATATATGTTTTAAAACACGAAAAAAACCGAGCTTAAAAAAAGAATACGGTAGTAATTACATTCGTAAAGAAACCGACATTATGCAAATATTTTTATCCTATTGACGATGTTTGGCTACAAAGATAAGAGTCAAATCAATAACTCTTTATCGATAATTAACTTAACAACTAAACAACTTTTGAAGTGTTCATATTATTTTTATTTTGACAGGTAGAAAATGATATTTTTAACTTATAGGAATCACGCCAATTTAATCTGTGATACTGCTAAACTAAAAATTAGAACCCAAGTCGCCCAAAATGCGGAGAAAGAACATCTTGGAGTGAGGAAAGTTAACACAAGAAAAATTTACAAAACTCAATATAGCGCATATGTGTTAATAAACCTAATACAATATAAACTTATCTAAAACCTAACCAAAACAACAGCAAACTAAATAGTTTTAAACAATTAACCACGCGCGACCTTGTATAACTCCCGAGAGTAGAAGTATCTAGGATAATTCAGAGAAGGAAATAAAGCTATTTATCATTTTTAAAACTCAAAATAGGTATATTTTATTATCAAACAATTAAAATAAATGTTTCATTATCTCAAGTCATTTTATAATCTTTGTACAACCCTTGCGCGTTCGCTCGATGACGCAGTCATACGAAGGTCGCGAGCTGGGCAAAGCGTCCTCCACGCCCGGTACGCGTGGTGCAGAAAGTATATTTCTGCTAGCAGGTTAACATCTGGGATTATTATTAAAATTTTCGAGGCTATTATAGTTATTATATTATTTTGATATATTTCCCAGTGCTGGGGACAGGTCTTCCCTTATTTGTAAGAGGTTTTCAAATCAGTATGTCCCCTGCGCTGCTTAGTGTGTTTGCGGATAAATCAAATTTCGAAAACTTGGAAACCCACATGGGGTGTCTAAGTTTTCAAAGTTCAGAAGCTTATTATTTTTGTCGATTTTTTTGGTATATTATTTAATTAATTTTAAATTGATTTTTATTATTTTGTTTCAGATTATCTTCTCAGACTGAGTCCACCAGTAACCAAACATGACTTTTCATTTTCATTGCGTGGTTCTGAAGGATTATGCGATTTATTTGACATACCTTGTTAGCTATAATTTAAGAGAACTGACGTTTTTATTTTTTATTTACATTTCTAAAGACATTTTTCTTTACATTAAATTTGTTACATAAAAGTTTTGTGATCATGTTAAAATTATATTGGTGTATATAAAATCATGTAAATAAAGTATTTTGAAATATATAAAATCAAAATCATAAATGTGATTTTATTGGTTTTAGCTGGTTGTATCAAACCATGTGATGATGGCGACATAAGACAATCCTTTAACGTCAACAATTTCCTCTTAAATGGCAAGAAGACAAAATGTATTAAATTTACTATACTTAATGTTAAACATTCGAATACCAATGTGCTCTTAAATGGAGAGGAGTTGAGTCTTGTGGACACCACTGTTTTTGTTTGTATTACTGACGCGAAGCTTCAATGGGGCCCCCGTATATCTAAATTAGCAAGTAGACTTAGTTCTGCTGCATATGCTGTTAGAAAGATTAGAAGTCTCACAGATGTTGAATCAGACAGATTATATTACCTAATCAAGTCATAAATTCTGTCACATGTTTAATATAAAATAATTGAAACAAGTTTATTCATTATGTAACCATTTATATACCAAAATGAACTTAACAAAAACATAGATTCTTGTGACACTAAAGTTTATTCAAAATGACCTCCGTGATTTTCAATTCAGGCCTTCAATCTGCGCGGCCAGTCTATCGCAGCACGCACGAGGTCCATGTCAATATCGACGGCTGCCTTAATCAAGGATGTCTTGAGTGACTCCAAATTGGGATGAGGCTTTGAGCACACCTTTACCTCCAAGTGTTGCCATATCTTGTAATCTAACAGATTCAAATCTGGACTGGAGGAGGGCCAGTCTTCGTGCCGGATGAAGTCGATTTCACGCGCCGCCAGCCAGTCTTGTGTGCTCTTCGCTCTATGAGCTGGCGCCGAATCTTGTTATTAATACCCAGTGCCTGTTATTGAACATGGTATGAGAAACAGGTTCCACAAGGTTCGTCATGACTGTATTTTGATACACAACTGCATTCGTTTTTACACCTTTCTCACAAAAATGTACCTCTGTTAAGCCCCAATAAGAAACTCCCAACCATACCATGAGCGAGGATGGAAAATGACCTCGTTGGACACGCGGAATACGGTTGCTCGCTTTTTCACTACTGTGAGCGTACACCTTATCATTTTGTTTGTTGTAGCTCTCTTCTACGGAAAAAAATTTTTCATCCGAGAAAAGAATTTCCCGATATTTTTTTCCCGCGTACCGCTTCAACAAAGCGCGGCATCTCTTCAGTCTCAGGTCCATTAGACGAGCATTCAAACAATGTCCTGTTTTTCTTCGATATGCCCGAAGCCCTAAGTCTTCATTTAACACCCTTTTCACCGTGGTTCTGCTTAACCCCATCTGAAGGGCCAACAGTTTCTGCTTACGTTTGGGATTTCTTTGAATTCGCGCCCTCACAGCTTTTATCACTGCTGGAGTCCTAACAGACCGAGGGCGACCACTTCTTGACCTGTCATCTACACTAGAGTCTTCATTGTATCGTTTGATGGTACGATAAACGAATCTTTTGGTTATATTCAAATTTTTCAGTATGTCAAAAATTTGAATTGGCGCGTAACCGCAACGATGCAACGCAATAACTGCAACACGGTCTTCTTTAAGCGTCCACTCCATATTTAAAAATGAGTAAAATTCTAAAAAGTATACAGTTTTATTTTCATGAACAATTCGAAATTCGAATTCAATAAACTTTTTTGTGGTCAGCATTCTAAAAGAAAAGTTTTTACTGTGTGACAATACCTGACTAGGTATTATAGTTACTTTCATAGCGTAATGTCTTATGTAATGCGACTGATATTGAAGCCATATTTGTTTTGCTAAAGATAGCCGTACGGGCGATTTATAAATTAAATTGTAAAGAGTCCCTCAGAGAAAATTTTAAAGAAATAAACATAAGTATTAACTTTGGCATCGCAATATATTTATGAAAATGTAATGTATGTACATAAAACCAAATAGCTTTAATAAGAATAAGGATCTTCATACTTTAAACACTAGGAACAAACAGCTTGTTAGTAACAAGTTGTTACGTAGGTCACTCTATAAATTTTGAGCTATACAAAAAGTATTCTTATTTATTTTACATCTTTTCAAAATATTCTCCCATGCTCTATACAAAGTTCCATTCACCTAAACCAACTGAAAACACTTTTGCCAGTCTTGATCTGACAGGCAAATTGCGAAAAAGTTTGCCGAAAAAACTTGCCATTTATTTTTTCTTTGACTCTTGGGAACAAAAAGAAATCACAAGGAGCTAAGTCAGGGCCGTAGGGTGGGTGTCTTACAGTTTCAACACCAGATTCCTCAATAAATGCTTTTTTTCTAAGAGAGGTATGTGAAGAGGCGTTATCGTGATGCGGGATGATTCCCCGAAGCCCTGTCTTTGGTATTCTCTCCCGCACAGCTTGAAAAGCTTTGGGTAATGCAACTGTAGTATACCATTCAGAGTTGACTGACCTACAATTTTCCAGCATTGACGTCGACAAATGACCGCTACGCGAAAAAAAACTAGTCACCATTTTTTTTTGCCGACGTTGCGAGGTCTGCAGTTTTGTCGGTAACTATCCTTCTGAGTGGACCCATACCGATGATTGCCTTTTATTTTCCGGATCATATTGATAGATCCATGTGTCGTCACCAGTAACGATTTCTGAAACACGCCTAGATGTCCCGTTTTCAAAACGTAGACGCATTTCATGGCACCGATCCACACGAGGCTGTTTTTCGCTTTCGGAGAGCAAACGAGGGATCCATCGTAAACAAACTTTCCTCACTCCAAGATGTTGATGTAGGATGGTATGAATGCTCCCCGAACTAATGCCTACAATCTTTTCGATGTCCGTATATGTGATCGTGGGTCTTCTCGCACCAACATTTCAGTAGTCCATACATTTTCTGCCGTTACTGCTGTTTGCGTGGCCCCGGTTCTTTGGTCATCTTTAAGATTAATTTTACCCCTTTTGAATTCAGCAAACCACCTAAAAATTGTTGCGCGTGATGGAGCTGAGTCCCCTAATGCTGATTGTAACCGTTGTAAACTTAAGAGCGTAGTCGGTCTGCGCGGGAATTGAAAAATAGGTATTTGAAGAAACTATTGCCGTCGCACTGTGCCCGAGCAACCGAGGTATCAATATGTGAGTGAATAGTCTGTATTTGTGTGCGTAGCTCAGTACTGCGCATCGTCCGCCTGCCCGTGCCTCTTCCCCGCAGCCGTCCCGCCTCCCGCACCATCCAAGCTACGTTCGCTCGTTTCTCAGTCGGATCTCGGATTGAAGATATCGTCGTTCGCAGTGTTTCATGTGTTATACATTTGCTATTGTTTACGGGCTTGATTCTTTGCTTCACTGTTTTGACTTGGCTTGTGAATCGAATTTGAATACCAATTTGTTTCAACGACTGGAGAAAAATCGTGAGTATTATTTTATTTCTAAATAAATTTTATCTCTGTTACCCTGTTACTCTGTTAAAGAAATTCAATAATTTAATAAAACATACTTGTAAAGTTGTAAATTTATTGAATTTTGTTTGATAAAATTTCAATTTACAAATATAATCATACCATAATAATTTTTGTTTCAGGTAATCAGGAAAAAAAGGGAATAAAACGCGTCTATTCTTGAGTACTAAGAGAAAAAAAAAAACATCATTTACGTATAAAACGGAAGATCCATTTTTCACTGTGTACATTAGCATCCAAGTAATTAAAATTTCATATCCGTTATGGTCAGAGGGGCGTGAGATGGTCAATTTTGAATGGCATGGCTGGATTGTACTCCAGATGGTCCTTGTCATAAGGAGATAATAATATGAAAGCGGCAATAACAATGCCTAGTATCTTTGTTTCACACGTGTTTTATCCCATCTCAGCGGATGAAACACCACCAATTGCGGACGCTTGTAATATGCATTTATGTCAAATTACAATATGCATTTAATATATTGCCTATCTCTATTGCAATCAAATATTAAGAAGTTAAAGTTACAGCTTATATACGTCCCACTGCTGGGCACAGGCCTCCTCTCATTTTTGAGAGGGTTTTAGGGCAAGGAAATGTCCGCCACGCTGCCCCAATGCGTGTTGGCGAACTTTACATGTCTTCGAAAATTATCTTTTTTTCTTATTTCTCAGACATGCAGGTTTCCTCACGATGGTTTTCTTCACCGCCGAGCACGTGGTAAATCAGCACTTAAAATTGCAATTAACAATTTAATTGGTGCCGGCGGGGATCGAACCCGGGTTGCTCGCGTACTGTGAAATTTACAGCGAGCGCTAACCATCTGAGCTACCACGGCTATATGTTATAAAACTATATATGTAATTGAAATTCACCTATCGACTGGGGTTGCCGTCGGTGATAGGGCTTTTACTTGTCTTATAAATTTTTAACTAACTTCCAAAAAGGAGGAGGTTATATGTTAGACTGTATGTATTTTTTTTAATATATGTTCACCGATTTATCCGCATATTGTGGACCAATTTTCAAAATTATTTTTTTATACGAAAGCTTATACTCCTGAGATGGTTTCATTCACAGAGTCAGAATCTGATGATGGGATCCCAGGGAAATCGAGGGCAGCTCTCAAATTTTATAGGCACATATAATGTTTTTCGTGTACTGTCTAACGCAATGCAGATATTTGTGCCTGGTAATCATCATTTCATGTTGCTGAGCTTATGATGAAAGGTATAAATTAGGATCTGATGATGGGATCCCAAGAAAATTAAGGGCAATCCACAAATTTTATGGGCATTGTTTGAAACAGTATACTTCTCATGTGTTCCCATGATCATCATATCAGGATCTGATGAAGGGATCCTGGAGAAATCAAAGGAACTCCAAATTTTATAGACATATATAGGCATTATACCTGGTAATCATCATCTCATGTTGCTGAGCTGAAGATGAAAGGTATAAGTCAGGATCTGATGATGGGCCCCAGGAAAATCA